CAACAATTTTAGAATAAAAAAAATCAAGAATTCAATAATGAAGAACGAATGAGGAAGGACGTGTGAAGAATGAAGAAAGAATAACGAGAAATAAAGATAAAGAAAAAAAATCCAAATTCAAACAATCTAAGACTCTCAAATCCAAAAACTAGAAAATTCGTAAAGGGAAACGCAAAGACACCGTAAACTCGAGAATTCCAGATTTCAAGAATTCAAGAATCCACGAAACCAAAATACAATCAAGATTTCAGGAATTAAAAAATTTAAGAATTCAGGAATTCAAGGATGAAATAAATTAGGTATACCAGGATCCAAGAATCTAAGAAATCTAGATTCTAATAAGGATCCAAGAATTCAAGAATTAGAGGAACAAATTAATTATTCGAGAATTTCAGGATTTAAGGATTGAAGTATACAAAAATTCAAGATTACAAAAAGCAATAATTCTATAATTCAAAAATTATAGAATCTAAGAATTTAAGGAAATATGTGTCTATGAATTTATAAAATAGAGAGAACAAAGACGAGAGAAGGCGGATGAAAAAAATTAAGAATCCAAAAATCCAAGAATAAAAAATCTAATACTCCAGAAGTCCAAGAATTCAATAATTGAAAATTTCCAAAATTCAAGAATTCAAGAATCCCGGAATCCCAGATTCCAAGAATTTAGGTATTCAACAACTCTTGAATTCAATTATCTCACGATTCCAAGAATACAAGAATCCAAGAAACCAAAAATTCAGGAATTCAAGAACTCGAGGAACCAAGTATCTAAGATTCCAAAGTTCTAAGAATTCAAGAATGCAACGTTCAAAGAATTCAATTATTAAAGAATCTAAAAATCCAAGTTTCCATAAATCCATAAAACAGAAAGAAGAAAGACGAAAGAAGAAAGGAGAGGGAATCCAAATTTTAAGAATTCAAGAATCTAAGAATTCAAGTATCCAAAAATTTAATATAGTATAAGTTTTCAAAAATTCGGAAATCCAAAAACTCAAAGATCCAAGTATTTCAGCATTCAAAGTTCCGAGAATTAAAGGAACCAAAAATCCCAACAGAAAGAAAAAAAGAAAGAAAGAAAGAAGGAAAAAGAAATAGCAAGAAGAAACTGAAGAATCTAAGAATCTAAGAAATCAAGAATTCCAAAAATTCAAGAAATCTAGAATTCAACACTTTAAGAATTCAAGAATTCACGTAGTCAAAAATTAAAAAAAATATGAATTCAAAGATTAAATTAATTATCCCAAGATCCAAGGGTCTAAAGCTCCAAGAATCCAAAAATTCAAAAATCCAATAATGCACGAATCCAAGATTCAAAGAAATCCAGAATACAAGAACTAAAGGTTGAAATTAGTTATTCCAAAATTCAAGAAATCAAAAATTCTAGAGTTCCATAATTCAAAAATACAAGGATCCAGAAATGCAATAATACAACAATTCTGGATTTGAAGGAACCAATATCTCAAGATTCAAGAATCTGACGATGGAAAATTCCAGAAATTCAAGAATATAATAATTTAAGAATTAAGGAATTCAAGGAACTAAAATTTTAAGAATCCAAGTGTCCATTATTCAGGAGAAAGAAAGAAGAGAGAAGATTTTTTTTTCATCGATCCTTCAATTCTTCTTCTTCAAACAACAACAAGAAGAAAGGATCAAGAATAATTTTAAGACATTAGGATATCAAGAATTCAAGAATTCAAGAATAATATTATAGTAAATACCTAATAATCCACGAATACAAGATTTCAACAATCAATAATTTAGAAACTCAAAAACTCTTGAATTCATGGATACAAGAACACAAGAAATTAATCATGAAATAATTCAAGAATCTACGAATCCAAGAAACCAGAAATTCAGGAATTTAAAAACTTAAGGAACCGAGTATCTAAGAACACAAAGTTTTAAGAATTCAAGAATGCAATAATCCAAGAATTTCAAAAGTAAAGAATGCAAAATCCAAGAATCCATACAATAGAAAGAAGAGAGAAGGAAGGAGAAAGTATAAAGAAAGAAGAAGTAAAGCCAGAATCCAAAAACATATGAATTCGAAAATTTTAGAATTTAAGAATTTAGGCATTTCAGAATTCCGAAATCCCAGAATCCAATTCATCAATGTATCAATTCAAAAATTCCTGAATTCCAAATTTCAAAAATTTAAGGATTCTTAAATTTAAAAATCCTGGAATTTAAATATCCAAAAATTAAAAAATCCAGGAATTCAAAAATTGAATGTACTGTAAGTCTCCAAAAATTCGGAAATCCCAAAATTCAAAGGATTTAAAGTTTCAAGATTTAAAGAATCAATAATTCCAGAGTTCCAGATTACGAAAATTCAAAAATATAGAATAATTTAAGACTTCAAGAATTCAAGAACTCAAAAACTCAAGAATTCAAGCACTCAAGAATTCAAGAATTTAAAATTTTAAAAATCAAATTAATTATTATAAGATCCAAAGTTCCAAGAATCCACGAATTCAAAAATCCAGTCATTCAAGAATCCAAGATTCGAAGAAATCTAGAATTCAAGAATTGTGCATGAACTCATGAATTTCAGAATTCCAAATTTCAAGAATTCAACTGTCCAAAAATTAAAAAATCCAAAAATTTAAAAATTTAAGATTTCAAGTTCTGGAATCCAAAAACTCAAATATCCCAGTATTTGAGGATCCAAAGTTTCAAAAATGAAAGAATTCATGAATCTTAGCAGCAAGAAAGAAAGATGGAAAGAACAGGAAAGAAATAAGAAAGAAGAATTAAAGAATCCAAGAAATCAAGAATCCTAGAAACCAAGGCTCCAAGAATCCATGAATTCAAGAATTCCAAAGTTCCAGATTACAAAAATTCAAGAAATCCACAATTCAACAGTCTAAGAATTGAAGAATTCAAGAATTCAAAAACTTAAGAATTCAAGCACTCAAAAATGAAAAATTTAAGACTTCAAAGGTCAAATTAATTATGCCAGGATCCAAAGATCCATAGTTGCAAGAATCCAAGAATTAAAAAATCCAATAATTCAAGAATCGAAGATTCGAAGAAATCCAGAAGTGAAGAATTGAGGATTGAAATTAATTATTCGAAACTCCAAGGAACCAAAAATTCAAGTCTTCAAGAATTAAAAAATTCAAAAATTTAAAAATGCAATAATACATACATGAATTCAATAACTGAAGAAACCAATAACTAAAGATATCTGACAATGCAAAGTTCCAAAAATTAAAGAATTCAATAATTTAAGGACTAAAGAATTCAAGGAGCGAAGGTTTCAAGGATCCAAGTCTACAATATTCCAGGGAACAGAAAGAAGAAAGGAGAAAGAAGAAAAAAGAGAGAAGAAAGAATGAAAAATAACTCTAAGGCATTAAAAAACCAAAAATTCTTGAATCCAAAAATTCCAGAATCCAAGAGACAAGAAACCAACAATTCAAAAATTCAAGAATTCTGGAATTCAATAATTCAAGGATTCAAGAATTTAAGAATTTTAGAATACCAAAATCTCAGAGTCCAATTCGTAAACTCATGAATTCAAGAATCTTGCAATTCTAAATTTCAAGAATTCAAGGTTCCACAAATTCAAGTAGTCAAAAATTCAGAAATCCAAAATTCTAAAAATCCAAGTAATCTTGAATTATTGATTTTTTGGATTTTTGCATCTTTAGATTCTTGGAAATTTGGATTTTTAATTTTAATTCATCTTTCTTCTCTCTTAATTTTTCTTCCTGGACATGTATTTCCTTGAATCCTTGGATTGTTTAATTTTCGAATCTTGAATTATTGGGTTTTTGGATTTTTATATTATTTGACACTTAATCCTTAAATCCTGAAATCCTCGGATAATTGATTTGATTCTTGAATTCTTAAATTCTTCGATTCTTGACTGCTTGGATCCTTGTAATCTTGAATTTTTGATTTTTTTTTCTGAATTCTTGATTTTCTGTATTTTGGATTCTGGGCTTCTTGAATTTCCGGTGTTTGTTAGAGACACAAATTTTTTGAATTTTGAATTCTTCTTTATTCTTTTCTCATTCCTCATTATTTCCTCTTCACCTCTCTTTATTATTAAAGTTTAAATATTCTGCGACCCAGTGTTTCATGATAAAGGTTTCATATCTTCAGAAATCATGCAAACAAGCAAAAAAAATATTGGTATGAAAATTAACCAAAAAAAAAAAACACGAAGTAAACAAACAATTAAAGACCGTTTTTTATAAATAAATTAGTCAGGCATCTTACACAATTTGTTCAGTTTTGTGTTGATCTGTTTACTGGTTATGAATTGATTTAATTTTTTGCTTGATGAAGATCTCATAAAAATATCGTAAGAATTTTAAGTAGTGCTATAGTAAGGTATACGACCCTCCATGACACGTGCATGCTAAAAGTTAAATAATATATTGGTATAACCTTGTATTAAATAAAAAACTAGACTTCGACAAGAAGAGGACACATACCTATTTCCTGTTTAAACCACGTGTATTGGTGTTTTAATTATTAGAATATTAATAATTATATTGTATTTTTGCTATAATGTTATGCATTAAGAAATTAGCATTTTGGAATGTTGAGCTCATAATTTCAGAGTTTAAATTTTTGGAATGCAGGAGGTTAGTAATTGGAATTTTAAGGCTCCGTACTTTAGTCTCTCAAAGTTGTCCAGACTTCCAAACATTTAAACTCTTAGTAATACTTGAAGTTTGAGAATGTCAACATTTAATTTAGGTATTGCAATAATTTCAATACGCCAAGGTTTAGAAGCCGTAGGATTTTCGATTTTTTTTTTTTCGAAATCTGTATCTGAAATTTCGAATTTAATAAACATGTCTCAGTACTTCACAAAAAAGTAGGTTACATACGTTTATGTAGGACATGTTTATGGAAATGGAAATTAACCAGTAAATATTCTGTAGTTTCAGTCATTTTATAATGATTTTAACCTTGGTTATCATTGAAATAAAACCGGCTTTCTTCAAATCCGAAGACATTTGGCTAAAGTTTCTGACACTACAATGACATTCCGCACGGTTGGATTCCTTGTCCTAGTATCACTCTGCTTCAGCGCAAAATTACGTAAGTTTCCATCAACCCAACCCCAAAATATTAACCTCTTTAACTCAGCCAACAGTTTCCAAAAATGCAACCGCAAACAGCCCGATTTGAAGGACTGTTTGCTGAAAGCCGCCCAAGATGGTCTGTCCCAGCTGGCCCAGCCGGTCCTGAAGGACCTCATGCCCAGCATAAACCCCATCGAGATCCCCGAAGCCACCATCAAAGAAGGCCAGGGGGCGGTGGAGTTCCAGCAAAGTTTCAAGGACTGCAAAATTTACGGGTTCCATTTGGTGAAGCTGGACGCTTTCGAGTAGGTTTTGGATTACGTTTTTCGAAAAACAAAAAATATTTTATTTTAGCTGGAATTTTGAAAAGAAAACTCTGTACATGGGAGGATTCTATCCGGAGTTTAAAATTCACTGTCACTACGATTTCGTTGGGAAAATTCTGGTGGTTCCGATTGAAGGATCCGGGCAAAGCAGGATCACGATGGGTAAATTTGTCAATAAATAATGATAATAAATACTGATTATCAATTTTAGAAAATGTGACGAGTTACATGAATTTGGGATACGAAGAAACGAAGAAAAAGGGCAAAACGTATGTGAAGTTTGTGTCCAGTGAGGCCACTTTGGAGCCAGGACTAATTTCCTTTAACTTTGATAATTTATTCGATGGTGATAAACTCCTGGGGGATAATGTCAATAAATTGCTCAATGAGAACTGGAAGGAAGTTTTTGAGGATGTTAAAGGTGGCTATGTCGACCTTATAAGACAGGTTTTTACGAGTATCGTAAACAGCTTGTTTTCCAAAGTGTCCTTAGAGGAGCTTTTAGACTAGGTTGTATTTTATTGATATGTAAACATTAAAATTATTAAAATAATTAATAAAGAAAATATAACAGAGATAAGTATTTTTTATTCGACTATATATTAATTCAAACGTGCCTACACATCAATTTTCTGCTCAAAAGTTACAACATTTATTAGGAAATTAAAGTGACAAGTTTTTATGAGACTGACCTTCACTAGAGTTACAATAAAATCCAACTAATAATAACAATAATAATAATAAGTTAAGTGTACATTGTATATACATAAAATTTCAAGTTTCGAATTGAAGTTACTGAATCTTAGAATTTAGGATTTCAGTGTTACGGATTTTAAAATTTCCAAATTCGGAATTCCAGGAGTGGGACTTTAAAGATTCAAAGTTTCAGGTTTTTGGAATTCATGATAAAGGAATTTCGAGATTTGTTTTGATTGAAGATTTGTATTTAGTATTTCTAAGTATATTCAGAATTTCAGGATTTCAGATTTTAGAATTATAGTATTCATTCATTACTTCGGAATTTACAGATTTAAAGGTGGCTTCAGGAATTACTTACATCTTTAAAGTTTTGAATTTTAGGAATCAAAATTGTTAATTTTCACAGCAGATTTTAGGATCCAGTACTCAGCATTTCAGAATTCAAATTTTAACTTTTAACATAATGATGATTTCAGCTTTCGGAATTTCAGGATTGACGATTGCAAGATTCACAATTTTAGCAGTTTGGATTTAGGAATTCAGGATTCACGATTTCACAATTTTGAATTAAAAATTAATGCGATTTCATGATTGAAGATCTGGGTTGTAGGTTTTAAGATTCAAGACTTGGAGTTAATATTTCAGCATCTAGGATTTCAGAAGTAAGGATTCAGAATTGCTAGGCTTCGGGATTTAGAATCTGAGAATTTAGAATTTTATGAGTAGTTCAAAATTTGGAATTTCGTCAGTGTAATGCGATTTTACATTTAAGATTCCAGAATTTCAGGTTTCAGGAATCCATGAAAAGAATTGAGGATTTGAATTTTCGGATTTCAAAATTTCCGAATTTAGAACTCCAGCAGCGGAGCTTTCAGCTTCAAGGTTTCAGGATTTTAGATTTCAAAAGAAACGGATTTGATTGGAGATTTTAGGATCTGTCATCTTAGGATAAACATTGCCAAGAGACGAAATATTACGCTTAAGATTTGTATTTAATATTTCTAAATCTAAGGTTTTAGAATTTCAGGATTTCAGAATTGGAAGATTAAGGATTTCTAAATTCGGTATTTAGGGAGTTGGAGGGTTTGTAATTTAAAATTTCGGGATTTTAACATGTTATATTTTTTGCTTTTGAATTTATGAATTGAGGATTTTTTGGGTTTAGAATTACAGAAATTACGAGATTCGGGGTTTCAGGATTCAAGAATTTACGATTTTAAAACAAATAAATAAAGCTTCATTTCGAGGACTATATTATTCAGGGTTCCAGAATTTAGAACTTGAAGATTTAGAATTGTAAGGATTTAGAAGTTCAGAATTTCAGCATTTAGGATTCCTACAATCATTATTTCAGGATTTGGAATTTCGACAGTTTGTATATCGAGATTGAGGATTTTGAAGTTTAGAATTCAGGATTTTAGAATTAAGGATTCTAAAATTTCAGAATTTGGAACTCCAGGAGTAGCTTTTTTAAGATTCGAGACTTCAGGATTTTAGAATTTGAAATAAAACGATTTGGTGATCGAGGATTTTAGGGTTTGTTGTAATTTTAGGATAAACGCTACCAAGGTACGAAATATTAAGATCAAGACTTGCATTTAATACTTCTGATTTTAAGGTTTTAGGGTTTCAGGATTTCAAGTTTTAGAATTCAAGATTTTAGTATTTAAAGATTTTATATTTCTAAATTCGGTATTTAAAGAGTTAGGATGTTTGTAATTTTAAATTCCTGGATGTCAGGCTTCAAAATTTCAAGGTTTGTTTGAAATATCTATTCCAGAATTTCTGAATTTGGAATTTTGGAATACTAGAATTCAAGTTTTTAGGATTTAGAATTGAAAAAAATGACTGCATATTCAGAATTTCAGAATTGAAGTTTTTAAAATTCAAAATTTAACATATAGAATAGAATTTCAGGTTTTTTTTCTGAATTTCGGAATTCAAAATTCTAGGATTCAGCATTTTAGCAGTTTGAATTTTAAGAATTTAGGATTTTTGTATTTAGAATTACAGAAATTATTCTGGGTTTTAGGATTCAAGAATTCACGATTTTAAAACAAACAAAATAAAGCTTCATTTTGAGGGCTATATTATTCAGGGTTCAAAGATCTTGAAGATTTAGAATTACAAGGATTTAGAAGTTCAGAATTTTAACATTTTTTTCCTACGATCATTATTTCAGCATTTGGAATTTCGCTAGTTTGTATATTGAGATTGAGGATTTTAGATTTAAGACTCCGAATTTTGAAGTTTCGTGATTTCGGGAATTTGAGTACTTTGCAACTTCGAATTCAAGATTTTAGTATTACGGATTTAAAAATTTCCGGATTTTAGAATTCAAAATAAAATGATTTGATGATCTGAAGATTTTAGAATGTGATTTTAGTGTTTAAAATTTGAAATTGCACAACTTGAAGATTCAGATTTTTAGGATTCCAGTATTTATAGTTTTAAGATTTCAGATGAATGGTTTTAGGCTTCGTAATTTCAGGTTCTAGAATATCTGGGATTCAAGGGTCTGGAATTTCAGAATCCAGGGTTACAGAATAGTAGATTTCTCAATTGCGGGTGGATTCTTGATCTCAGCATACTCAGTTTTAAGATTTTACGACTGTGGATTTTCTGTTTCATAATTTTAGAATTCAGTATGTCAAGATTCAAGAATTTGAGGTTTTAAAATTCAGTGTTCAAAATTTCGGAATTCATTTCATCCAGGATTCAGAATTTGAAGATTTTATAATTCTAAATTTCGAGGGCCACAGTTTTAGGATTTCGTTACTGTGAATCTCAAGGTGGTAATTTTAGGATTTAGAATTTCAGTATTTGTCATTTACGAACTTGAAATTTTAGGATTCAGAATTTCATGATTTTGAATTCTAGAGTTACAGTTTTGGGGTCCAGAGCTTGGGCATAATCGTATTTTAGATTTCAGGAGCGGTCGTTTTGGTATTTCAGTGTTACTATTTATTTCAACCTTCCTAATTTCAGGTTTTAGAATTGTTTAAAAATCCCGCAATTTCGAATTCTAAAAACCCAAAACACGAATTTGGAAATTTAAATTCTTCTACATTAAGATGCTTAATAATAAAATTTTGATCCTGAAACCTTGGATACTGAGATCCTGAACACTGAAAGCTTGAATTTTAATCTTAAATATTATAATTCAAAATCTGGAAATGTTAGAATATCGTGCGAATTTTGATATCTCAAATTTCGAAGCACAAAATCTTGAATTTTGGAATCCTGAATCCGGAACTTTTTAAAATTTTGAGTAGTGCAAATTTTTAGGTCTGATGCTCTGAATTCCAAGGACCTCCAAGCCTCAAATTCTGATTATAAAATTCCTAAATTATGAAATCCTGATTTATAAAAAGCATTTTGGGTTTCTTAATTTTAGTATTAGGATTTCGGAATTCAAGATATAATAATTTTGGATTTCTGGATTGAGAATCCCGGTGTTCGAAATCTCCAGATTTTGCTATTCTGGTTTCCAGATTCACCTTTAGGATTCTGGTTTTCGAGTAATTTCAAGTTTTAAAATGTCAAAGTACCGAAATTAAGATTCAGGATTTCATGATTTTGTATTTCTGAATTGCGGATTTTAGTGTTTAAAATTGGAAGCTGCACAACTTGAGGATTCAGATTTATGAATTTAGGTTTCGTGATTTCTGGTTTTAGAATGTTCGGGATTTAAGGATCTGGAATTTCAGGGTTATGGAATTGTAAATTTCTCAGTTGTGTGTGATTCTGGATCTCAGCATACTCAGTTTTAAGATTTCGCGACTGTGGATTTTGTATTTCATAATAACAAGATTCTTGATTTAAGAATTTGAGAATTCAAAAATCAGTAATCAAAATTTCGGAATTCACAACTTTCCACGTAGGATTCATAATTTAAGCATTTTATTATTCTAAATTACTAGAATCATATAGGATTTCAGAATTCAAGATTTGTTTCTGGATTGAGGATCTCGGCGTTCAAAGTCCCCGGACTTTCCTATTCTGGTTTTCATGATTCACAGTTTTGGACGTTCAGGATATTGGTTTTCGGGTTTCGTAGTTTCAGGTTTTAAAATGTCAAAGTTCAGAATTTTAGGAACTGAAATTTCAAGATTCGGCATTGCATGATTCTGAATTTGTAAAAATTCTGAATCTGGAACTTTTTAAAACTTTGTGTACTGGAAATTTTGAGGTCTGATACTCTGAATTCCAAAGACCTGCAGCCCTGAAAACTCGAATTCTGATCATAAAAATCGTAAATTATGAAACCCTGACTTATAAAAAGCATTTAGGATTTGAAAATTTTAGTGTTAGGATTTCAGAATTCAAGATTTATTTCAGGATTGAGCATCTCGGCGTTCAAAGTCCCCGAACTTTCCTATTCTGGTTTTCAGGATTCACAGTTTTAGTCGTTCAGGATATTGGTTTTTGGGTTTCGTACTTTCAGGTTTTAAAATGTCAAAGTCTGGGATTTTAGGAACTGAAATTTCAAGATTTGGCATTTCATGATTTTGAATTTGTAAAAGTTCTGAATCTGGAACTTTTTAAAACTTTGAGTATTGGAAGTTTTGAAGTCTGACACTCTGAACTCCAAAGACCTGCAGCCCTGAACACTCGATTTCTGATTATAAAAACCCTAAATTATGAAATCCTGACTTATAAATGCGTTTAGGGTTTGAAAATTTTAGTGTTAGGATTTCCAGAATTCAAGATTTATTTCTGGATTGAGCATCTGCCGTTCAAAGTCCTCGGACTTTCCTATTCTGGTTTTCAGAATTCACTGTTTTAGACGTTCAGGATATTGGTTTTCGGGTTTCGTAGTTTCAGGTTTTAAAATGTCAAAGTCTAGGATTTTAGGAACTGAAATTTCAAGATTTGTCATTTCATGATTCTGCATTTGTAAAAATTCTGAATCTGGAACTTTTTAAAACTTTGAGTACTGGAAATTTTGAGGTCTGACACTCTGAATTCCAAAAGACCTGCAGCCCTGAACACTCGATTTCTAATTATAAAAATCCTAAATTATGAAATCCTGACTTATATAAAGCATTTAAGGTTTGAAAATTTTAGTGTTAAGATTTCAGAATTCAAGATTTATTTCTGGATTGAGCATCTCGGCGTTCAAACTCCCCGGACTTTCTTATTCTGGTTTTCAGGATTCTAAGTTTTAGATGTTCAGGATATTGGTTTTCGGGTTTCGTAGTTTCAGGTTTTAAAATGTCAAAGTCCAGGATTTAAGAAACTGGCATTTCAAGATTCAGGATTTCATGATTTTGAATTTGTAAAATTACAATTTCAGGTTTCATAACTTAAGCATAATGGTATTCTAGACTTCAGGAGCGGTCGTTTTGGTATTTCAGGATTACTATTTATTTTAACCTTCCTAATTTCAGGTTTTAGAAATGTTTAAAAATCCCGGAATTTTCAGTTGTAAAAACCCAGTTACCCATCAAGTTAAAACTTCCTGATCCTGAATACTGAAATCCTGAACAATGAATACTTGAATGTTGTGAATTTCGAAATCTCAAATTTCGAAGCACGAAATCTTCAATCGTTTTCACTATTTTCGAACTTCAGGATTTAACGACCTGAAAAAAAAATTGTCAGGACATTGAAACATTAACATTTAAAATTCAGAATTTCGCTATTTAGAATATTTACGATTTGTGGAATGCATATTTCAGATAAATTAGATACCGATAAAATGAAAATTTCTGAATAAACAAAGTTATTAAAATAATAAAAATTTTTAATAAAAAAATTACAATTTTTGAAAATTTTTATTTTAACTCTTTTGATATTTAGCAGCCACACGTATCTTATATGTATTCAATGAATGAACCTAGTGGCGGCTTGAAAACACGTATTAATTAATACATACATACATATGCATTTCAGTGGGATTCGTTTTGATTTTTTAATAGAATTTGAGGTGTAACCTTGACTGTGATTATTAGAACGAAAAAAAACCTGTTTTTACATGAATACTCTAATATAAGCACCAACTCGACTAAGGTCTTTATTCAAACGCAATGTTGCTGCCAACGCTGATATTCACACTTTTGGCCCTTAGCTCCTCTTTAAAATTGCGTGAGTTTACGATAATTCTCCGAAACCAATTAAATTTTTTTTTAGCACCAAGTTTTCAGAAATGTAATCGAAAACAACCCGATTTCAAAGAGTGCCTGCTGAAGGCAGCCCAAAACGGCACCGCTCAGTTAAACCGCCCAGTTCTGAAGGACTTCAATATTCCGAATTTGGAACCAGTGAAGGTACTAGAAGCCATCATTAGCTCTGGAACGGGACCTGTGCAAGTCGAACAGATGTTCAGAAATTGCGAAGTTCGCGGTTTATATCTGGTAAAGTTTGAGACGTTTGAGTAAGAACTGTAATTTTCTTTTTCGAGTTATTATTTACTTTATATATTTGATTAGCTGGGATTTTGATGCGAAGTCTATGCATTTTCGAGTATTTGTTTCGGAAGTGAACCTACGCTGCGATTATAACTTGGATGGAAAAGTTCTCCTTCTGCCAATAAGAGGCACTGGCTTAGCAACAATACGACTGAGTAAATCATAATTTATATAATTCACTTTCATGGTTTTTGTTATTGTTGTTAATTTTTTAGCGAACACAACAGGAGCTGTCGAGGTGAAATATGAAGAAGTCAAAAAGGCGCACAAAACCTATGCCAAATTTGTATCTAGTAAAGTGATTATGGATCCAAAAAATGTTCACTTTAATTTCGATAATTTGTTCGATGGTGATAAACAGCTGGGCGATAATATTAACAATGTGTTGAATGAAAACTGGAAGGAAGTTTTTGATGATGTACATGACGGTTATAGTGAACTGGTAGGCCAGATTTTCCTCCAGCATATGAATATTCTGTTTTCCAAGGCGTCCTTGGAAGAACTTTTGGATTAAGTTTAATCAGGTTTATTTACATAAATAGTTTTGTTTTATTCGGAAGGTCACTTATGAAATGTATTTCACTAATAGTAATAAAAATTACTTTACAAATGACGAATAATTATTTTATTCAGGATTCAGGATTATTGTACACAAACATTTCAGAATTCTGGATTACACAGTGTGAAATTTATTTGCATTCCAGAGTAGTAGATTGAGCATCTCTGGCTTCTAGGATTCACCGTTTCCGTATTTTATAAATCAGAATTTTTATATTCAAAATTTGAATGTTCAAAACTGATAGACTTTGGAATTTAGAGCTTCAGAACTAAAAATTTTCCGAAATTTTGAATTTTAATATTTATGATCAACATTGAAGGTTGCAGTGTTCAACATTTCAGGATCAAATTTGTCATTCAGCATCGTAGGATAGAAGAATTTAAATTTCAAAGGTCAAGTTTTAACTTGTTGGGATTTTGAGATTTTAGAATTCGAAATTCGGATTTTTAAACAATTCTAAAACCTTAAATTAGAAAGTGGTCAATAAATAGTTATTCTGAAATACCAAGACGGCTGGGCCCCGAAACTGTAATTCTAGAATTCAAAATCATGAAATTCTGAAAGCTAAAATCTCAAGTCCGTAAATCACAAATACTGAAATTCTAAACACTAAAAGTCATTCTCGAAATTTAGAATAATAAAATCTTCAAATTGTGAATTCTGAAAATCCAGATCCTTAAATCCCAGACATTCTAAAACCTGAAATGACGAAACCTAAAATAATAATAATTTTAAAACTATAAATACTGAAATCCTAAAAATCTGAATCCTCAAGTTGTGAATTCTAAAGACCAGTATAGCTAAATCTGGAGATTTCGAACGCCGAGATGTTCAATCCAGAAATGCAATATTATCAATTCTTAAATCTTAAATCTCAAATCCTAATACTAAAATTACCAAACCTAAAATGCTTTTTAAAAAGCAGGATTTCATAATTTAGGATTTTATCTCCAAATCTATAATCGTCAATTCAGAATTCTAAGACTAAAATCTAAATTGCAGATTTTAAAATTCATGATATGGTGAATCTTGAAGTTTCAGCCTTGTTATCCTAAAACTTGAAATTATAAAATGTATTTCGTGTTTCATAATTTTAGGAGTAGGACTTCTGAATTCAATATTTCATAATTTTGGATTTCTGGATTGAGATTTTGACATTTGAAATTTTTAGATTTTTAGGCTTTCTGATTTTCAGGTTTTATAATTGCAAGTTTTAAAATGTCAAAATATAAAATTTAAGAAACTGAAATTTCAAGGTTCAGAATTTGATGCTCCACAACTTGAAGATTAAGATTTTTAGAGTCCGAAATTTAAATTTTATTTTTAGAATTTAGAAGTAAGGATTACAGATTCTGAGATGGACGTTCGGGAATTACAAATTTCAGGAATCAAAATTTTAAGATTCAAGAATTTTAGGAGTCGAAATTTCAGAATTCACAATTTTAGGATTCTAGGATTCAAGGATCGTAATTTGACGACTTTGGATTACTGAATTCAGGATTTCAGTACTCAAAATATCAGCGACTATATTCTAAAGAATTCAGTATTTATAGTGTTAACATTTCAAATTTATGGTTTTAGGTCTCGTGATTTCAGGTTTTAGGATGTCCAGAATTTAAGAATCTGCGATTTCTCAATTACGGATATCAGTTGTCAAAATTGTAAGATCTACAACCTGAGAATTTTAGTATTTTGGATTTCAGCATACTCAGTTTTAGGATTCTGCGATTTCCTGTTTTATAATTTCAGGATTCAAAACGTCAAGATTCATGATTTAAAGACTTGATATTTCGAAATTCAGTATTTAAAATTTAGATTTTATTTTTAGAATTTAGAAGTAAGGATTACAGATTCTGAGATGGATGTTCGGGAATTACAAATTTCAGAAATCAAAATTTTAAGATTCAAGAATTTTAGGAGTCGAAATTTCAGAATTCACAATTTTAGGATTCTAGGATTCAAGGATCGTAATCTGACGACTGGATTACTGGATTCAGGATTTCAGTACTCAAAATATCAGCGACTATATTCTAAAGAATTCAGTATTTATACTGTTAACATTTCAAATTCTTGGTTTTAGGTCTCGCGATTTCAGGTTTTAGGATGTCCAGGATTTAAGAATCTGGGATTTCTCAATTACGGGTATCAGTTGTCAAAATTGTAAGATCTACAACCTGAGAATTTTAGTATTTTGGATTTCAGCATACTCAGTTTTAGGATTCTGCGATTTCCTGTTTTATAATTTCAAAATTCAAAACGTCAAGATTCATGATTTAAAGACTTGATATTTCGAAATTCAGTATTTAAAATTTAGATTTTATTTTTAGATTTTAGAAGTAAGGATTACAGATTCTGAGATGGACGTTCGGGAATTACAAATTTCAGGAATCAAAATTTTAAGATTCAAGAATTTTAGGAGTCGAAATTTCAGAATTTACAATTTTAGGATTCTAGGATTCAAAGATCGTAATCTGACGACTGGATTACTGGATTCAGGATTTCAGTACTCAAAATATCAGCGACTATATTCTAAAGAATTCAGTACTTATAGTGTTAACATTTCAAATTCATGGTTTTAGGTCTCGTGATTTCAGGTTTTAGGATGTCCGGGATTTAAGAATCTGGGATTTCTCAATTACGGATATCAGTTGTCAAAATTGTAAGATCTACAACCTAAGAATTTTAGTATTTTGGATTTCAGCATACTCAGTTTTAGGATTCTGCGATTTCCTGTTTTATAATTTCAGGATTCAAAACGTCAAGATTCATTATTTAAAGACTTGATATTTCCAAATTCAGTATTTAAAGTTTTGCATTTCTAGAGTTTGAATTTTGAGAATCACGGTATTTCATAATTTCAGGAGTGATTGATGTGGTACTGCAAAACCATGTATTTCAGTTTTACTAATTTCAGGTTTTAAAACTGATTAAAAATCCTGGACTTACGAATTCAAATTTTCAGTAGTGGAAATTTTGAGATCTGACGCTCTGAATTCCAAACACCTAAAAAACCTAAAAATATGACATTATGATTTATAAAAATGATTTTGGGTTTGTGTATAATTTTAGTAATAGAATTTCAGAATTCAGAATTTAATAATTTTGGATTTCTGGATTGAGGATATTTTCAGATTTTGCTGTTCTGGTTTTAAGGATTCACTGGAGGCCTTTCAGGACACTGATTTTCGGGTTTCGTAATTTCAAGTTTTAAAATGTCAAGGTACAGGATTTAAGGAAATTTGAAGATTCAGGAATTCGTGATTTCGTATTTTTGAATTACGGATTTTAGTGTTTAAAATTGGAAGCTGCACAGTTTTAAGATTTCAGATTTATGGTTTTACGTTTCGTGATTTCAGGATTTAGAATGTTCGAAATTTAAGGATCTGGAATTTCAGGGTTATAGAATTGTAGATTTCTCAATTGTGGGTGTTGTCAGTTGTCAAAATGGATCTTGTATTTCATAATTTCAGGATTCATGATTTAAGAACTTCAGAATTCGTAAAACAGCATTCAAGATTTCAGATTTCACATGTTTCCAGGTAGGATTAATAATTTAAAGATTCTATTGTTCTAAATTTCTAGAAACATAGTACGAATAATTATTTTATTTATAATTTTTGATATTACCAAAAATGTGTTTTGTAATTTTAAGTGTTAGAACAACAAAGCACAGGATTTAAAGATCTCAAATTTTATGATTCTGTTTTTCATGAATCTACAATTTAGATGTTGGTCTTAGAATTCTGAACTGAAGATTGCAGATTTTTATTTCAAAATTTTAATTTCAAGAGATACGATTTAAAATTTGAGATTTTGAGATTTTAGAATGCACAATGTTAAGCTTTCAGATTTTCATAATTTTGGATTTAATGATTTAAGATTTCATTTTTCAAAATTTCAACTGTATACAATTTAAGGATTTCAGTATTTTGGATTTCAGCATGCACAGTTTTAGAATTTCAGGACTATGGACTCTCATATTTACAGAATTCAACGTCATGATTTGAAGATTTTCGATTTCAGAGTTCACTATATCATGATTTTTGATTAACGGATTGATGATTTCAGAGATCAAAATTTTTTCAGACTCCACATCTTTCCTCGTATGTTTCATAACTTCTAACTTTGAGTTTCGTAATTTTATCATGTACATCTGAAACCTCATTCATGTACAGTCAGTATTTAAGGATTTGAGATTTTAGGATGCAGAATTTCACGATTTTGAATTACTGAAGTCAAAATTTTAGTATAATTTAAAAGTTTCAGGAGTACTGGTTTTGGGATTTCAGGATTGTCGATGGTAGGTTTCGTAATTTCAAGTTTTAGAACATCAGTGCCTAGGATTTAAGGATATTTAAGAAATTTCACGATTTTGAATTTATGAAGTCAAAATTTCAAAATTCAAAAATTTCGTTTCAGAATTCATTACTTAAGATTTTTTTTCTTTCAAGAATTATAGTTGTAAGATTTCATTATTGCGAACTTCTGGTTTCGTGATTTTAGGACTTGGAATTTCATGATTTTGAATTTCTGGTCTCAAAATTTAGAATCCACATTCTCCTCGCAAGAATCACAATTTTAGAATTTTAGTTCTTTGACTTTCTAATTTTAGGATTCAGAATGTTAGTATTCAGCATTTAAGGACTTGAGAATTTAGGATTGAGAATTTCATGATTTGGAATTTTTGAAGTCAAAATTTCCGTATTCATAACTTAAGAACATTCTCAATTTTACAAGTAACCGTTTTGGAATTTGAGGATTGTGGATGTTAAGTTTTGTAATTTCAAGTTTCAGAAATTCAGACTTTTGGACTTAAGGACATTCATGTAGCAAAATTTCAGAATCTACATCTTTCTTCTCAGAATTCATAATTTGAAGATTTTTTCATTCTTTATTTTAAGAATTATAGTTTTAGGATTTCACTGTGGTGAATTCTGAACTTCTAATTTTGGAATTCGGAAAATCTGTATTCACTATTTAAAGACTTGAAATTTTAGGATTAGGCATTTCTGGAATCAAAATTTCTGTATCCACGTGTTAAGAATTGTAAAACTCTAGATTTCAGAAGTGACCATTTTGGGATTTTAGAATTGTGGATGTTATGTTCTACGATTTCATGTGTCAGAATTCAATTCCTAGGATTTAAGAATCTGGGAATTTAATGATTTTAAATCTCTGGAGAAAAAAATTCAGAATCTTTTGGAATTCTGGAAGTGTGTTCCGTAATTTCAGGTTTTAGATTTTGAATTTCTGGAGTCAAAATTTTAGAATTCATATTTTTCACAACTTGAGTATTCTTTCTTTTTATTTCAGAATCACAGTTTTCGGATTTCATTTTGGTTAACCTTGTGTTTCGTAGTTTTAGAAGTCTGAATGTCAGTATTCAGCATTTAAGAACAGAAGATTTTAGGATTCAGAATTTCATAATTTGGAATTTCTCGAGTCAAAATTTTAGGATCCATATTAAGAATTTTAATATTCTAGATTTCAGGATTGTGGACGTTAGGTATCGTAATTTATAACATTAATGTCCACGAATTCTTTATTTAAGTTCACAATTTTAGGATTGCAGCAGTTTGAACATTGGATTTCGTACTTTTAAGATTCAGAATTTCATGATTTGGAATTTCTGGAGTCAAAATTTCTGTATCTATAACTTAAGAATTGTAATATTCTCGATTTCAGGAGTAATTATTTTGGGATTTGAGGATTCCGGATGTTGGGTCTCGTAATTTCAAGATTTGAAAGTGAAAATTTTAGAATTCACATTTGTCCTCGCCAGAATTCACAACTTGTGTTTTTTTTTATCCTTTATTTCAAAAATCACAGTTTTAGGATTTTATTACTGCGATTTTTGGGTATCGTAATTTTAGGAGTCAGAATTCAGTATTCAGGATTTAAGAGAGAGTCAAAATTTCAGGATCCATATTAAGAATTTTAATATTCTATATTTCAGGATTGCGGATATTAAGTTTCGTAAATTCAGACGTTAGAAAATTAATGTCTCCGAATTAAGGTTATGAGAATTGCATCGTTTTGACTTTTTCAGTCAAAATTTCAGAATTCACATTTTTCTCCGCAGGAATGAGAACTTGGGGATTTTCTTATTCTTTATTTAAAGATTCACAATTTTAGGATTTCAGTACTGTGAACTTTGAGTTTCGTAACTTTGGGATTCAGAATGTCAGTATTCAGATTTAAGCACTTGAGATTTTAGAATTCAGAAGTTCTTGATTCAAAATTTCTGTATTTATTATTTAAGGATTGTAACATTCTCGATTTCAGAAGTGACCGTTTTGTGATTTAAGAATTCTGGATTTCAGATCTCATAATGTCAAGTTTTAGAAAGTCAGTGTGAATTTCATGATTTGGAATTTCTGGAGTCAAAATTTTAGAATCCACATTTTACATCGCCAGAATTCACAACTTGAATTTTCCTTTATTCTTTATTTTAAGAATCATAGTTTTAGGATATCATTACTGTGAATTTTGGATTTCGTAATTTTAGGATTCAGAATTTTATAATTTGGAATTTCTCGAGTCAAAATTTTAGGATCCATATCAAGAATTTTAATATTCTAGATTTCAAGATTGTGGGTGTTAGGTATGTTTGAAACATTAATATTCCCGAATTAAGGTTATGAGAATTTCATTGTTTTGACTTTTTCGGTCAAAATTTCAGAATTTACATCTTTCCCCGCAGGACTGACAAACTTGAGGATTTTCATATTTTATTTAGATTCATAATTTTAGGATTCCAGTACTGTGAACTTCGAATTTCGAAATTTTAGGAATCAAAATGTCAGTATTCAGATTTAAGGACTTGAGATTTTAGGATTCAGAATTTAATGATTTGGAATTTCTGGAGTTAAAATTTCTGTATTCATAACTTGAGAATTGTAATATTCTCGATTTTAGGGCTGACCTTTTTGGGATTTGAGGATTCTGGATGTTAGATCTTGTAATTTCAAGGTATACAAAGTCAATGCCCATGATTGGGAATTTCATGATTTTGAATTTCTTAAGTCAAAATTTTAGAATCCACATTTTCTCTCGCCAGAATTCACAACTTGAGTTTTTTTTATTCTTTATTTCAAGAATCATTATTTTAGGATTTCGCTACAGCGAATTTTGGGTTTCGTCATTTTAGGAGCCGGAATGTCAGTACTCAGTATTTAAGAACCAGAGATTTTAAGATTGAGAATTGCATTATTTGGAATTTCTAGAGTCAAAATTTCAGGATTCATATTAAGAATTTTAATATTCTAGACTTGAGGATTGTGGATGTTAGGTTACGTAATTTCAGATTTTAGAACATGAGAGTCTACGTATTAAGATTATGAGAATTTCATGGTTTTTACTTTTTCGGTCAAAATTTCAGAATTCACATCTTTTCCCCGCAGGAGTGACGACTTGGGGATTTTCTTATTCTTTATTTAAAGATCCACAATTTTAGGATTTCAATACTGTGGACGTTGAGTTTTGTAATTTTAGGATTCCGAATGTCAGTATTCAGATTTAAGGACTCGAGATTTTAGGATTCAGAATTTCATGATTTGGAATTTCTAGAGTTAAAATTTCTGTATCCATAACTTGAGAATTGTAATATTCTCGATTTCAGGGCTGACCCTTTTGGGATTGAGGATTCTGGATGTTAGATCTCGTAATTTCAAGGTATACAAAGTCAAAGCCCATGATTGAGAATTTCATGATTTTGAATTTCTTAAGTCAAAATTTTAGAATCCACATTTTCCTTCGCCAGAATTCACAACTTGCGTATTATTTTATCCTTTATTACAAGAATCATAGTTTTAGGATTTCGCTACAGTGAATTTTGGGTTTCGTCATTTTAGGGGTCGGATTGTCAGTACTCAGCATTTAAGAACCAAAGATTTTAAAATTGAGAATTTCATAATTTGGAATTTCTAGAATCAATATTTCAGGATTCATATTAAGAATTTTAATATTCTAGACTTGAGGATTGTGGATGTTAGGTTACGTAATTTCAGATTTTAGAACATGAGAGTCTACGTATTAAGTTTATGAGAATTTCATGGTTTTTACTTTTTCGGCCAAAATTTCAGAATTCACATTTTTCTCCGGAGGACTGACAATTTGAGAATTTTCTTATTCTTGATTTAGGTTCTCAATTTTAGGATTTCAGGACTGTGATTTTTGAGTTTCGTAATTTTAGGAATCAAAATTTCATGATTTGGAATTTTTGGAGTCAAAATTTCTCTATCCATAACTTAAGAGTTGTAATATTGAGTGATTGTCTTGGGATTTGGGGATTGTGGATGTTAGGTTTCGTAATTTCAAGTTTTTAGAACTTTAATGTCCAGGATTTACACTGGGAATTTCATGATTTTGAATTTCTGGAGTCAAAATTTCAGAATCCAGATCTTTCCTCGCAGTATTCATAACTTGAACATTCTCTTATTCTTTATTTCAAGAATCACGGTTTTAGGATTCCAGTGTTGTGAATTTCAGGTTGCGTAATTTCAGGTTTTCAGAACGTCAGTGTTCAGGTTAAGGATCTGAAAATTGAAGGTTCAGATTTTCACTATTTTCAATTCCAGTAATAATTTCAGCGTTCTGAATTGCCAGGTGTCCGAATTCAGTAACTCGACGATTCATTATTTAAAATTTCAGTGTTTTGAAATTTTGACACTAAAGTCATTCAGAATTCAGGAATTCAGGACTTAGACAAGCAAGATTTAACCAATTTAAAAAAAAAATTATAAATATTCCCTGATATATGGAAATTTCTATAAACCATTTTGGTATTTAGCAGGTGTTCCCGACGCATTCCATGCACGTGTCTAGGAAGTAAACATCAAAAAACATTAATAAATATGTAATTTGGTCGGATGCGGTTTTTTAAGACCGAATTTTGTGAGCTACAGCCTTGACTCGAGTATTTGTACTAAAAAACCTGCTTTTAAAAAAAGCATTCTATTATAAGTAAGACCAAACGTGGAAGACTTTTATTCAGACGCCATGTTGCTGCCAACGCTGATATTCACACTTTTCGCTTTTAGCTCCTGTTTAAAATTACGTGAGTTTGCTAACTATAATCCCCCAAAACCATTTAAAATTCTTTTAGCACCAAGTTTTCAGAAATGTAACCGCAAACAACCCGACCTGAAAGAGTGCCTCTTGAATGCAGCCCAAAACGGCTTGTTTCAGTTAGGTCGACCAATTCTCAGAGACTTCAATATTCCGAGTTTGAATCCAGCTAAAGTAGTAGAAGCAACCATCAGTTCCGGAACTGGACCAGTTCAAGTTGAACAGAAGCTTAGAAATTGCGAAATTAGGGGCTTACCTCTGGGAAGACTCGACACGTTTGAGTAAGAATAGTGTTTTTTTTTTGAGTAATCTCCTCAAAATATTTTCTCAGTTGGGATTTTGATGCGAAGTCGATGCATTTTGGATCGTTTTTTTCGGAAGTGAACGGACGCTGTGAATATGACTTGGATGGGAAAATTCTGCTTCTGCCAATAAGAGGGACTGGATCAGCGGTGGTACTGATGAGTAAATATCACATTCTGTTGTGGTTTTTATTTCTGTTTTAAACTTTTTAGCGAATACAACACTGAATGCTGATTTGAGGTATGAAGAAGTCAAAAAGGCGCACAAAACCTATGCAAATTTTGTATCCAGTGAAGTTACTGCGGATCCAGGACATGTTTACTTTCATTTCGATAATTTGTTCGATGGTGATAAACAGCTGGGGGATAATATTAATCGTCTGGTGAACGAAAACTGGAGGGAGGTTTTTGATGATGTTCGTGACGGTTATATTGAAATGCTAAGCCGGATATTCCTCCAGTATTTGAATAATTTGTTCTCCAAGGCGTCACTGGAAGAACTTCTGGATTAAGTTTACTCAGGTTTATTTAGATAATAGTTTTACTTTTTACTGAAAAGTCAGTTTATGTAAAGTATAAAATCTTAGTTGAAAAAATAATGTATTTAAACATTTCTGACAATAAATTATGAAATGAATCAGGAATAGTAGATTTTAGAATTTAAATAATAATGAACTTAAGACTTAGTGTAGATTTAGAATTTTAGAATACAAGAAATATTTCAAGATTCCAGAAATGTGGACACCTGCTTTTGTAATTTCAGGCTTTAGAATGTCTAAGTCCAAGATTCAAGACTTCGAGATTTCAAGTATTAAAGTGTCATAGCTTTGGATTTGTGTATTGTGGATTTCAGTATTAAAAATTTCTTGATTTTATAACTTGAGGGTTTTAATATTTTGGATGTCAGGATATACAGATTTAAGGTTTTTGAATGTTGAGTTTAAAGATTTAAGCGTCTGACAATTCAGGATTTTGGATGAAATTCTATTAAAAACATCAGACAGTTTTAGATTTAGAGGAATGTGAATTTCTGGACAAGCTTTTCTAGGTTTTAGAATGTTAAATTTTAGGATTTAAGAAATTCAGAATTCAGGATTCCGAATCTCATTACATTTCTGGCTCGATTTGAGAAACTTTGTATTTTGAATTTCAAGGGCGAATTGAGATTTCACAATTTCAAGATTTTGTATTTGGCGAAAGCGAACGTCATTATTTAAAATTTCAGAATCCATAAGTTAAGGATGTTAGTATTTTGGATTTCAGGATTTATAGTTTTAAGGTTTTATGGTTGTGTAAGTATCTGAGATTTCAGGATTAATAATTTCAATATTTTAGGACTGCGGATTTCTTTATTAAAAATGTCAAAATGGATTTTAGGATTTTAGCATTCTGAATTACATAATTTTAGATTTTAGAATGTCAAAGTCCAGGATGTAAAATTTGGAATTCGGTATTCAGATTTTCAGGATTTTAGGTTGCCAGTATTCAGGATTCACTCTTTTTGGATTGTGGATTTCGACGTAAAAAATTTCATGTGCATAACTTGAAAATTTTAGGATTTTAGCATTTTGGATTTCGGGTTACATAATTCCATATTTTAGAATATCAAATTCCAGGATCTCAAATGATGAGATTTCAATAATAAGATTTTCAGGATCTCAGGATGTTGGATGTTTTCCAGTGAATAAATCTAGGATTAAAATATTTGAGCTTTCAGGATTCTTAATTTGAAGATTTTAGGATTTCAGGATTGTGGATTTCGGGTTACGTAAAGCAGGTTTTAGTGTATGAAAGTCCAGTACTTAAGAATTTGGGGCTTAAGGATCCAGAATTTCCGGATCTCAGAAATCCCAATTATGAGTCTCAGCATTAAAAATGGTAGAATTCATAACTTGAAGATTTTTGGGATTTTAGCATTTTGGAATTCGGGTTACATAATTTCAGATTTTAGAATATCAAAGTCTAGGATCTCAAATTATGAGATTTCAATAATAAGATTTTCAAGATCTCAGGATGTTGGATGTTTTCCAGTGAATAAATCTAGGATTAAAATATTTGAGCTTTCAGGATTCTTAATTTGAAGATTTTAGGATTTCAGGATTGTGGATTTCGTGTTACGTAAAGTAGGTTTCAGTGTATGAAAGTCCAGGATTTAAGAATTTGGGACTTAAGGATCCAGAATTTCCGGATCTCAAGAATCCGAATTACGAGTCTCAGCATTAAAAATGGAAGAAGATGAAGATTTTAGGATTTTAGCATTTTGATATTCGGGTTACATAATTCCATATTTTAGAATATCAAAGTCCAGAATCTCAAATTATGAGATTTCAATGATAAGATTTTCAGGATCTTAGGATGTTGGATGTTTTCCAGTGAATAAATCTAGGATTAAAATATTTGAGCTTTCAGGATTCTTAATTTGAAGATTTTAGAATTTCAGGATTGTGGATTTCGGGTTACGTAAAGCAGGTTTTAGTGTATGAAATTCCAAGTTTTAAGAATTTGGGGCTTAAGGATCAAGAATTTCGGGATCTCAGGAATCCCAATTACGAGTCTCAGCATTAAAAATGGTAGATTTCATAACTTGAAGATTTTAGGATTTTAGCATTTTGGAATTCGGGTTACATAATTCCAGATTTTAGAATATCAAATTCCAGGATCTCAAATGATGAGATTTCAATAATAAGATTTTCAGGATCTCAGGATGTTGGATGTTTTCCAGTGAATAAATCTAGGATTAAAATATTTGAGCTTTCAGGATTCTTAATTTGAAGATTTTAGGATTTCAGGATTGTGGATTTCGGGTTACGTAAAGCAGGTTTTAGTGTATGAAATTCCAAGTTTTAAGAATTTGGGGCTTAAGGATCCAGAATTTCCGGATCTCAGGAATCCCAATTACGAGTCTCAGCATTAAAAATGGTAGAATTCTTAACTTGAAGATTTTAGGATTTTAGCATTTTGAAATTGGGATTAGATAATTTCAGATTTTAGAATATCAAAGTCCATGATCTCAAATTATAAGATTTCAATAATAAGATTTTCAGGATCTCAGGATGTTGGATGTTTTCCAGTGAATAAATCTAGGATTAAAATAATTGAGCTTTCAGGATTCTTAATTTGAAGATTTTAGGATTTCGGGATTGTGGATTTCGGGTTACGTAAAGCAAGTTTTAGTGTATGAAAGTCCAGGACTTAAGAATTTGGGGCTTAAGGATCCAGAATCTCCGGTTCTCAGGAATCCCAATTACGAGTTTCAGCATTAAAAATGGTAGAATTCATAACTTGAAGATTTTAGGATTTTAGCATTTTGGATTTCGGATTACATAATTCCAGATTTTAGAATATCGAAGTCCAGGATCTCAAATGATGAGATCTCAATAATAAGATTTTCAGGATCTCAGGATGTTGGATGTTTTCCAGTGAATATTTTAATCTAGGATTAAAATATTTCAGCTTTCTGGATTTTTAATTTGAAGATTTTAGGATTTCAGGATTGTGGCTTTCGGGTTACGTAAAGCAGGTTTTAGTGTATGAAAGTCCGGGATTTAAGACATTGGGGCTTAAGGATCCGGAATTTCCGGATCTCAGGAATCCCAATTACGAGTCTCAGCATTAAAAATGGTAGAATTCATAACTTGACGATTTTAGGATTTTAGCATTTTGGATTTCGGGTTACATAATTCCAGATTTTAGAATATCAAAGTCCAGGATCTCAAATGATGAGATTTCAGTAATCAGATTTTCAGGATCTCAGGATGTTGGTTTCTGGATTTCAGGATTTACTGTTTTAGAATTTTAGGTACCTCTACTGCGAATTTCAATATTAAAAATTTCAGGACCTTATAATTTGAGGATTTCAGGATTTTAGTATTCCGGATTTCAATCAAGCTTCACAGTTTTAATTTTTCAGGATTGTGGATTTCGTCGTATGAATTCATGTTTTAGAAGGGATAAATCTAGGATTTAAGTATTTGAGCTTTCACTATTCATAATTTGAGGATTTTAGGATTTCGGGTTATCTAAAACAGGTTTAGAGTGTGAAAGTCCAGGATTTCAAAATTTGTGACTTAAGGATCCAGAAATTAAAAATGGCAGAATCCATAGCTGGAAGAATTTAGGATTTTATCATCAGGATACAATGTTTAAGATTTCAGGACTGTGGATTTCGGGTTACGTAGTTCCAGATTTTAGAATGTCATGGTCCAGAGTAAAAAATTTTGATGTTTCAGTTAACAGATTTTCAGGATTTTAGGATGTTAGTATTCTGTATTTCAGGATTCTCTATTTTAGGATTTTAGGTATCCCTACTGCGAATTTCAATATTAAAAATTTCAGGATCTATTATTTCAGGATTTCAGGATTTTGATATTCTGGATTTCAATGAAGATTCATAGATTTAGTTTTTCAGGATTGTGGATTTCGACGGAAATAATTTCATATATTAGAATTGATAAGTCTAGAATTCAAATATTTGAGCTTTCAGGATTTACAATTTGAGAATTTTAGGATGTCAGGATTGTGGATTTCGTGTTACGTAAAACAGGTCTTAGAGTGTGAAAGTCCAGGATTTAAGAATTTGAGACTTAAGGATCCACAATTTCCCGATTTCGAGAACCCACTTTATGAATGTCAGCATCAAAAATGGTAGGATAAATAGCTTGAAGATTTTAGGATTTTAGCATTCCGGATTTTGAAATACTTTTCAGAATTGTGGATTTGGGGCTACATAATTCCAGATTTTAGAGTGTAAAAGTCCAGGGTCAAAAATTTTGAGATTTCAGTTTTCAGATTTTCAAGATTTTATAGGATGTTAGTGCTCTGGATTTCAGGATTCACTGTTTTAAGATATTAGGTGTCCCAATTGCGATTTCAATATTAAAAATTTGAGAATCTATAATTCGGGAATTTCAGAATTTCAGGATTATCTATCGCAAATTTCAGCATTAAAAATTTCAGGATCCATTGCGTGGATTTCAGGTTACGTAAAGCAGGTTTTAGAGTGTGAAAGTCGAGGGCTTAAGAATTTGAGACTTAAGGATCCAGAATTTCAGAACTTCAGGAATCTCTATTGCGAATTTCAGCATTAAAAATTTCGAGATACACTGGTTAAATTTTCAGAATTGTGGATTTCGGGTTATGTAATTCCTGATTTATGAATGTCAAGATCCAGGATTTAAAATTTCGAGATTTCACTTTTCAAATTTTTAGGAATTTAGTGTGTGAGTATTCTGGATTTCAGAATTCACTGTTTTAGGATTTTAGGTATCCCAACTGCGAATTTCAATATTAAAAATTTCAGGATAAACAATTTAAAGATTTCCGGATTTTAGTATTCTGGATTTCAATCAAGATTCATAGTTTTAGTTTTTTTCGAAGCAAATAATTTCATATTTTAGAATGGATAAGTTTAGGATTCAAGTATTTGAGCTTTCAGGATTCACAACTTGAGGATTTTAGGATTTCAGGATTGTGCGTTTCGGGTTATGTAAAGCAGGTTTTAGAGTACGAAAGTTCAGGATTTAAAAATTTGAGACTTAAATATCAAGAATATCCGGATTTCGGGAATCGATGTTGAGAATTTCAGCATTAAAAATTGTAGGATTGATAGCTTGAAGATTTTAGGATTTGAGCATTCTGGATTTCGGGATACACTGTTTAACTTTTCAGGATTCTGGATTTCTGGTTAGGTAATTCCAGATTTTAGAAAGTCAACATCCAGGATCTAAAATTTTGAAATTTCAGTAAACAAATTTTCATTCACTGTTTTAGGATTTTAGGCATCCGCACTGAGAATTTTAATATTAAAATTTCAGAATCTATAATTTGAAGATTTCAGGATTTTAGTGTTCTGGATTTCAATCAAGATTCACAAGTTTAATTTTTCAGGATTGTTGATTTCGACTTAAAATAAATAATTTCATGTTTTTAGAATGAATAATTCTAGGAATTAAGAATTTGAGCTTTCAGAATTCATAACTGGAGGATTTTAGGATTTCAGGATTGTGGATTTTAGGTTACGTAAAGCAGGTTTTAGTGTGTGAAAGTCCAGGATTTCAAAATTTGTGACCTAAGGATCCAGAAATTCCGGATTTCAGGAATCTCTATTGCGAATTTCAGCGTTAAAAATGGCAGGATCCACAGCTAGAAGAATTTAGGATTTTATCATTCTGGATTTCTGGATACAATGTTTAAGATTTCAGGATTCCGGATTTCGGGTTACGTAGTTCCAGATTTTAGAACGTCAAAGTCCAGAGTCAAAAATTTTTATGTTTCAGTTAACAGATTTTCAGGATTTTAGGATGTTAGTATTCTGTATTTCAGGATTCTCTGTTTTAGGATTTTAGGTATCCCTATTTCAAATTTCAATACTAAAAATTTCAGGATCTATAATTTGACGTTTGAAACAATCCTGAAATCTCAAATCCTGGATTTTGCCATTTCAAAACCTAGAATTACGTAAACCGAAATTCAAAATCTAAAATACTAAAATCCTGAATCTATAAATCCTGGAAATTTTAATATTAAAATCCACAACACAGATTCCTAAAAATCCTTAAATTTTTAATCCTGGAATCTCAAATTCTTAAATCCTGGAGTTTAACATTTTAAAACCTGGAATTACATAATCCAAAACCCAAAATCCTGAAAACCTAAAAGCGTGAATCGTGAAAGCCAAAATACTAAAATCTTAAAATCCTTATGGATTATTATTATAATATTTTTAATACTGAAATCCGCAGTTGAAATCCCTGGAATCCTGAAATTCTGAATCCAGAACTCTCAAATTCTCAAATTTTAGACTAGAATACTAAAATTCTGAAATCCTCACGTTTTGGATCCAGATATTTTTAATACAGAAATCAGCGGGCGAAATCCCTAGAATCCCGAAATTCTAAATCCAGAAATCTCAAATCCCGGAATTGCGTCAGCCGAAATCGACAACCCTAAAGTGTGAATCCTGAAATCCAGAATACTAAAATTCCAAAGTCTTGAAATTAAGAGTCTTGACATTTTTAATTTTTAAAACCGCAGTCGAGATCCTTATAATTCTGAAATTCTGAATCCTGAAATCTCAAATTCCTAAATCCTGGACTTTGATATTCAAAAACCTGGAATTACAGAAGCCGTAACCCACAATCCTGAAAACGTCAAGGTGTGAATCCTCAAATCCAGAATATTAAAATCCCGATATTCTTACGTTTTAGACCCAAATATTTTTAATACAGAAATCCGCAGGCGAAATTTCTACAATCCAAAAATTCGGAATTCAGAAATCTCAAATCCTGGAATTGCTTAAGCCGAAATCGACAACTCTGAAAACCTAAAGTGTGAATCCTGAAATCCAGAATACTAAAATTCTAAAGTCCTGAAATTAAGAGTCTTGACATTTTTAATTTTTAAAACCGCAGTCGAGATCCCAATAATTCTGAAATTCTGAATCCTGAAATCTCAAATTCCTAAATCCTGGACTTTGATATTCAAAAACCTGGAATTACAGAAGCCGAAACCCACAATCCTGAAAACGTCAAGGTGTGAATCCTCAAATCCAGAATATTAAAATCCCGAAATTCTTACGTTTTAGACCCAAATATTTTTAATACAGAAATCCGCAGGCGAAATTCCTACAATCCCGAAATTCGGAATCCAGAAATCTCAAATCCTGGAATTGCTTAAGCCGAAATCGACAACTCTAAAAACCTAAAGCGTGAATCCTGAAATCCAGAATACTAAAATTCTAAAATCCTGAAATTATGAGTCCTGACGTTTTAAATTTTGAAAACCGCAGTCGGGATCCCAATGATCCTGAAATTTCAAATTCCCAAATATTTGAAATTTCAGAAGCCGAAACCCACAATCCTGAAAACCTAAACGTGCGAATTCAGAATATTAAAATCCTGCAATTCTTCAAAGTATCTCTCTTGAGAATTTCAACACTAAATATGTCAGGATTCATATCTTGCGGATTTTAGGTTTTCGGTATTCTGGATTTTAGGATTTAGTATTAGGATTTCAATTGCAAATTTCAGTAATAAAAATGACAGGATTCATAACGTGAGGATTTTGGGGTTCTAGTATTTTCCGTCTCAGTATTCAAACTTTAGGTTTTCAAGGTTGTGGATTTCCAGGTTTTAGAATGTCAAATTCCATGATTTAAGAATTTGAGGTTTCAAGATTTAAAATTTCAAGATTTTAGGAATCTCGACTGCGGACTTCTATATTGAAAATGTCAGGATCCATAAGTTGAACATTTTAGGATTTTAGTGTTCTAGGTTTTGGAATTTAGAATTTACAATTATCAGGATTCACCACTTGAGGATTTAAGGATATAACAATTTGAAATTGCAGGATTCAGAAATTCATTGCTTTGAATTTCTCGATTGACTAAAAATTTCTGAATTTCGAGATTCATAGTTTTAGGACTTGATTTTAGTATTAAAAATACGATCCATAACTTGACGGTTTTAAGATTCCAGGATTCACATCTTTTGAATGTTAAAGTTCAAGATTTGAGAATCTGACATTTCATGGCTTAGAATTTAAGGATTTTAGCGATCTGTATTGCGGATTTCAATATTAGGAATGTCAGGATTCAAAACTAGAGAATTTTAATTCAGGATTGTAAATTTTACGTTACATTATTTCAATTTTTTAATGTAAAAGTCCAGGATTTAAGAATTTGAGATCTTAGGATTCAGAATTTAAGGATTTTTAGAAATCTGTGCTCTGGGTTTCAATACTAAAAATGGCAAGATTCATAACTTCAGGATTGTGGATTTCGGATTACGTAATTCCTGGTTTTAAAATATCAAAATCTAGAATTGAAGACTTTGAAATATCAGAATTCAGAATTTCATCACCTTGGACTTCTGGATTGTGGATTTCAGTATTCACAGTTTCAGTATCCATTCAATCGGTATTTTAGTATTTTGAATTTCAAGAGTCACAGAGATTACCTCTGGGAATTTCAGGAATTCAGAAAATATTCACAATTTCAAGATTTTGGATTTTTTTGAGTGCTTTTTTTAAATTGCATAGTTCTAAGATTTCATGCGTGTGAATTTCAAGCTTTAAAAAAATTTTTACTCCCCAAAAATTAATACTTTAAGTATTTCCAGCTAAAATTGCAAGCTGCTAGGTTCATTTTTATTTAAATAATTCTAATTGTACAACCTTGATCACGATTTAAACTTGCAGTCTATAAATCTTCTGAACCAGTTTGTAGAGATTTAATGTGCACCAAAATCTGGCTTAAAACCAACCAACTGACAAGAACCAAAATTATGCAGGTTGGAATTTGTTGTCAAACAGGCTTGTCAACAAAAAAACTTATTTAACAAGCGAATAACAGCAGCTGCATAATAAAGAATCAATACTTCAGTGTTGTGAGACAGTTCGTGTGCAACAGACCACACACCAACTCCGAAAATGTTATTCCCAGCATTTTTTTTCACCTTTGTAGCCCTCACTTATTGCGCAAAATTACGTAAATTGTAGAAACCCTACGAAATTGTGTATCTTACCGATTTTTTTAGCACCCAGTTTCCAAAAATGTAACCGCAAACAACCCGATTTGAAGGAGTGTCTTCTAAAAGCAGCCCAAGATGGCATTTCACAATTGACCCAACCGGTTTTGAAGGAGTTCAATTTTCCAAACGTGAACCCTTTGGAGATACCAGAAGCGACCATTAGTGCCGGAACTGGACCAGTGCAAGTCCAACAAAATTTCACAAACTGCAAATTTTATGGCTTCCCTAGTATCAAGTACGACGCTTTCGAGTAAGTTTTTAGATTATAGATGACAAGATTTTCTTGAATACGAATTTTAGCTGGGATTTAGAGAAGAAAACTTGGTATTTGGGCGGGCTGTACCCTGAGCTGAAAATTAACTGTAACTATAATTTAGATGGGAAGATTCTTCTTCTTATTATAAAAGGAACGGGTCCTGGTTCAGTAGTAATGAGTAAGTGTTATAGTCAGGTTTATTCGGGACGAAATTGAAATTAAAATTTTAGAAAATTTACTGGGCTATAGTAATTTGACGTACGAAGAAGTGAGGAAGAAGGGCAAGACGTACATGAAGTTTGTGACTTCTGGTATTACCATGGAGCCCGAAAGTGTGTATTTTAATTTCGAAAATTTGTTTGATGGTGATAAGCAGTTGGGTGATAACATTAATAAGGTGTTAAATGAAAACTGGAAAGAAGTGTTTGATGATCTGAGGAGTAGTTATAGTGAAATTGTAGCAAGATTGTTTAAACAATTTTTAAATATTCTCTTTTCGAAAGTGTCTATCGAAGAGCTTTTAGATTAGTCGTTTTTCAGCGAGATATATAGTATAAAATTTTGTTTGAAAAATAAAGAACAAGTTTTATTAATAATTAAGCTTATTCTTGGGTAAAAACCAACACCCTACTCTCAAAATTATAAATGTGACAATTGTAATGAAATTTTAGTGTAAAGTGGGGAAGGGAAGGGATTAGGTATCTGATCCCCAGGAACCAAGGACCGGAGACCAAGCAATAAGGAAATGTGGAGATAAACGGATAAGGGTACAAGGGGACAAAGAAATAAAGGTGAAGGTAAGTGAAGAAAAATGTTGCTGCCTCGGTGGGAATCGAACCACACGTCACCCGCTTGCCGGACAGGGATCCTGACCACTAGACTACGAGGCCGCTTATTTTTCTACGCTTATCAAAGTGTTATTGTGCCGAACGAATAAAAGCGTATGAGAATAAAACTATAAGGGCCAAGGGTCAAGGTTAATTGTCAAGGCACAAAAGGCAAGGAACAAAAGTCAAGGGACATAAAACAAGAGCAAAAGACAAGTGGGACAAGAAATCAGGAATCAGGGACCGAAAACTGCCAATTGAACATCTGGATTTATTATTTCGGACTGGATATTCGAATTTGAGATTCAGGATTTGACATTTGGGGTTTGGGATTTCCGATGCGGGTTATAGGATTTGAGATTCACATTCAAGCTTCGGCTTCAAGATTCAGAGCTTGGCATTTATAATTTAGGATTTAGAATCCACCAAAAATGATTAATGGTCAAAAATCAAGAAGCAAGAAGGAGGTAGAAAGCAGGGAAAAATGAATAGAATATAAGGGATTAGGCACGCATAAAAATCAAGGATTAGGGATTAGGAATCAAATCTCCAGAGACCAGGGACCAAGAATAAAAACCAAGAATCAGGAACCAAATCTCAACCAATCCAAGATACAAGATCCAGAACTCGGGCTTCGGGATTCAAAGCTTCAATATAGAGATATAGAGGATAAGGGATGGGGGTTAGGGGATAGGGAATAACGGATAAGAGATATAGAAACACGACTGGATAATTAATCAAGGATCAGGGACTAGAGACCAAAGATCGAGGGTCCAAAACCAGATACCAAGACCAAGGACCAAGGACCCAAAACCTATGACCGAAGACCAACGACCAAGGACCAAGGATTTGAATATGGAATCCAAGATTCAGAATTTACCATTTAGAATTCAAAATTCAAGATTTATCATTAGTGGTTAATGATTAAAGATCCAAGACATTCAAGTATCAAGAATTATGGATCACGGACCTGGTCTTCAGGGACCAGGACCCAAAGATCGAGGATCGAGAACCGACGATCAAGACCAAAAATCAAGGATCAACGACGATCAACGACGAAAAGACCAAGGACTAAGGACTAAGGATCAAGTATCAAAAATTAAGGATCATTCAGAATTCAGTAATTATGATTTCGAATTGAATATTCGAATTTGGGATTCAAGATTTAGAATTTGGGGTTTGGAATTGTAGGTTTTGTTGTTCAAGATTCGGTTACAAGATTCAGACCTTAGCATTTGGAATTTAGGGTCATCAATAATAATGATTAATGATCAAAAATTAAGAAGCAAGAACAAGGATAAGGGATAAGAGATAAGGGATCAGGGATGAATATAGCATCAAAGATCACAGATTAAAGACCGAATCTCAAGGGACCAGGGACAGAAAATCGAGGGCCGAGGATCAAGAAGCAAAAATCAAAAACCTCGCAATTCGAGATTCAGGACTTCAATATCTGGAGAAGAATTAGGGATTTATGACTTCGAATTGGATGTTCGAATATGGAATTTGGGATTTGGGCTTTGGGGTTCGAGATTGGCATTTAAGATTCGGATCCAAGATTTAGAGGTTAGTATTTAAAATTCAGGTCAGGTCCGGTCAGGTCCGGTTCAGTGAGGTCGGGTAATGATTCTAGGATCAAAGGTCAAGGGATTAGGGATCACAGATAAAGGAGCAAGAAACAAGGATTATAAATCAGGTTTGTGATCCGCAGGAACCAAAGACCAAAAATCGAGGAATGAGGAGATCAGGATTACGCATAAGTGTTTTGATCCCAAAAACCAAAGACCAAAAACCGAAGACCCAAGACCAAAAACAAAGAAACCCAAGAGATCCAAGTTGCAGGATTTGGGATCTCGGATGCGAGTTTTGGATACGAGATTCGCATTCAAGTTTCTGAACTTAGTATTTATACTTAATTCAGGATTTAGGTGCTATCAATAATGATTAATGATCAAAAATCAGGAGATTAAGGACGGGTAAAGAATCAAGGATGAGGTATCAGGAATCAAATCTCCAGAGACCAGAGACCAAAAATAATAAACAAGAATCAATGAACAAAAACCAAGGACCAAGAACCAAGGACCAATGATCAGGAACCAAATCTCAAGGAATCCAAGATACAAGATCCAGAACTCGGGCTTTGAGATACACGACTTAAACTTTGGGAGTCACAATGATTTCGAATTTGGGATTTAGTCATTATTGATTAATAATAAAAAAATCAAAAACAAGAAGAGGAGGGAAAGGGAAAATAGCGTAGAGGTCAAGGTTTAAGGGATAAGGAATAACGGATAAGATATCAGGGATAAGGAATTAAGGATCTGATCTCCAGCGGACAGGGTCTGAAAACCGAGGGCCCAAGATTGAGACAAAGAACCAAGGACCAAGAATCAAGGAATCCAAGATTAAAGTTCTAGAACTCGAGATTTGAACTTCAGGACTTCAACACTGGAAGTTAGAATTCAGGATGTGTGATTTCAAATTTGGGATTCGGGACTTATGGTAAAGGATCTATTAACAATGATCAGAAAACAAAAACAAGAATAAAAGGCATAGAGAAGAGAGGATAGAGGAGATCAAGACCAAGGACCAAAAACCAAGGACCAAGCATCAAGACCCAAAAATCCAAGAATTTAGGATTCTAAAGATCCAGAAATGGCAGAATACTGAATTTATGATTTCGAATTAGGTATTCGAATTTGTTATTCGAGATATAGAATTTGGGGTTTGGGATTTCGGATCCGGGATTCAGACCTCAGCATTTAGAATTCAGGATTCAGGATCTTTCATTAATGATCAAAAATAGAAAAGCAAAAATCAAAGAGAGATGATGAGCGGAAGAAGGGGGAAGAGGAGATGGGGAAAAAGAAGAAGGGAAAAAGAAGAAGGGAAAAAGAACAGAGAAAAAGGTGAAGGGTCAAGAAGAGAGAGATGAAGGTCACAATTCAAGGGATCAGGGATAAGTAATAAGGCATCATAGGGATCAAGAATGAATGATCACGGATCGGGAATCTGGTCCCTAGGGACCAGGAATCGAAGACCGAGAGCCGAGACTTGACGATCTAAATCAACAGGCAACCAAAGACCAAGGATCAAGTACCAAGGCTTCAAAATCAAGGTATCAAATTTGAAAGATCTAGAAATCAGGAATGGCAAAATTCACTACGGGAATTCAGTATTTATGATTTCGAAATAAATTCAAAATTGGAATACGAGATTTAGCATTTGAGGTTTGGGATTTCAGATGCGGGTTTTGGGATTCAAGATTCGAATCCGAGATTCAGATCTCAGCATTTAGAATTCAGGATTTAGGATCTGTCAATAATGATTAATGATCAATAATCAAGAAGCAAGAATATGGACAAGTGATAGAGGATAGAGGCTGGATAGGGGATCAGCGATGGATGGAAAAATCAAAGAACTCGGATTCGAGATTCCGGACTTCGACATCCGGAGTTAGAATTAGGGATTTAGGCTTTGAGGTTTGGAATTTTGGATACCGGCTTTGGGGTTTCAGTTCCGCACTCAAGATTCGGTTTCAAGATTTAGAGCTTAATATTTAGAATTTAGGCATTCAGGATCTCTCATTAATGATCAAAAATAAAAAAGCAAAAATCAAGGATAAACAAGGTTAAGGGAGGAGGAAGAAGAGAGATGATGAGTGGGAGAAGAGGGAAGAAAGAAGAAGGAACAAAGAACAGGGAAAAAGGTGAATGGTAAGGGATGATGGGGCGACAAGAGACAGATGAGGGTCAAAATTTAAGGGGTCAGAAATAAGCAACAAGGGATCAAATAATCAAGAATAGGGAATCCGATCCCTAGGGACCAGAAATTGAAGACCGAGTTTCGAAAACCGACGATCAAGATCAAGACATAACCAAAACCCAAGGATCAAGGACCAAGGACCAAGAATCAAGGAACCAAATTTGAAAGATTCAGTAATCGGGAGTGACAGAATTTAACATTTATGATTTCGAATTGGATATTTGAATTTGGGATTCGAAATTTAGAATCTGGGGTTTCAAGATTCGGATCCGAGAATCAGATCTCAGCATTTAGGATTAAGGATTCAGGATCTCTTATTAATGATCGAAAATAAAAACTCAAAAATCAAGGGTAAACAAGGTTAAGGGAGAAGGGAGAAGAGAGATGATGGGTGGGAGAAGAGAGAAGAGGAAATATGGAGAAGGAAGAAAGAAGAAGGGACAAAGGATAGAGATAAAGGTGAAGGGTAAGGGGTAATGGGGCCCGAAGACAGAGACGAGGGTCAAAAGTTAGGGGATCAGGGATAAGTAATAAGGGATCAGATAATCAAAAATCAATGATTACGGATCGGGAATCTGATCCCTAGGGACTAGGAATCGAAGACCGATGGTCGAGAACCGACGATCAAGATCAAGAGGCAACCAAAGACCAAGAAGCAAGGATCAAGGATAAAGAATCAAGAAATCAAATTTGCAAGATCAAGAAATCGGGAATGGCAAAATTCACTACGGGATAGAGGATAGAGGATAGAGGTTAGAGCCTAAAGATCAAGGACCGAGGATCAAGAACAAAAAATCAAAGAATTCGGAATCGAGATTCCGGACTTCAGCATTCCGAATAGGGAAGAGGAGAGAAATACGAAGGGTATAAAGAATAGGAATCAAAGAAAAAAAAAGGGTGAAGATAGTAAGAAGTGACGAGGCGGATGAGAGAAGGATGAGGGTAAAGAGTCAAGGTATAAGGGATTAGTGATCAGGAATCAGGGATTAAGAATCAAGAATCAACAATCATGGATTGGGGATCTGATCCCCAGGGAGCAGGACCGAGGACCGAGGACCAAGAAAAAAGATCAAGAAATCCAAGATGTAGGTTCCTGAATTCAGAATTGGATTCAGGAAATCAGTACTGGAAGTTAGAATCCAGAATTTATGATTTAAAATTTGGGGTTCGAGATTTTCGAACGCGCGTTTTGGGACACGCAGTATTCAGGATCAGCTTAATGATCAAACATGAAAGATGAGATATGAGGGATGAGGAACGAATGTTGAGGATTTAGACCAAGTACAAAGAACCAAGGACCAAGGTTCAAGAATCAAGGAACCAAATTTGAAAGATTCAGAAATCGGGAGTGACAGAATTCAACATTTATGATTTCGAATTGGATATTTGAATTTGGGATTCGAAATTTAGAATCTGGGGTTTCAAGATTCGGATCCGAGAATCAGACCTCAGCATTTAGGATTCAGGATTCAGGATCTCTTATTAATGATCAAAAATAAAAACGCAAAAATCAAGGGTAAACAAGGTTAAGGGAGAAGGGAGAAGAGAGATGATGGGTGGGAGAAGAGAGAAGAGGAAATATGGAGAAGCGAGAAAAAAGAAGGGACAAAGAACAGGGATAAAGGTGAAGGGTAAAGAGTAATGGGGCGTAAAGACAGAGACGAGGGTCAAAAGTTAAGGGATCAGGAATAAGTAATAAGGGATCAGATAATCAAAAATCAATGATTACGGATCGGGAATCTGATTCCTAGGGACTAGGAATCGAAGACCGATGGTCGAGAACCGACGATCAAGATCAAGAGGCAACCGAAGACCAAGAAGCAAGGACCAAGGATAAAGAATCAAGAAATCAAATTTGCAAGATCAAGAAATCGGGAATGGCAAAATTCACTACGGGATAGAGGATAGAGGATAGAGGTTAGAGGACGGATAAAGGATCAAGAGTCACAGATTAAAGACCATATTTCCAACGATCAAGGCTAAATATCAAGGACCGAGGATCATGAACAAAAAATCAAAGAATTCGGAATCGAGATTCCGGAGTTCAGCATTCCGAAGAGGCAAGAGGGGAGAAATACGAAGGGACAAAGAACAGGAATCAAAGAAAGGAAAAGGGTGAAGATGGTAAGAAGTGATGAGGCGGATGAGAGAAGGATGAGGGTCAAGAGTCAAGGTATAAGGGATAAGTGATAAGGAATCAGGGATTAAGAATCAAGAATCAACGATCACGGATTTGGAATCTGATCCCCAGGGAGCAGGAATCGAAACCGAGGACCGAGGACCAAGAAAAAAGATCAAGAAATCCAAGATGTAGGTTCCTGACTTCAGAATTGGAATTCAGGAAATCAGTATTGGAAGTTAGAATTCAGAATTTATGATTTAGAATTTGGGGTTCGAGATTTTCGAACGCGGGTTTTGGGACATGCAGTATTCAGGATCATCTTAATGATCAAACATGGAAGATGAGATATGAGGGATGAGGAACGAAGGTTGAGGATTTAGACCAAGTACAAAGGACTAAGGATCAAGGATCAAGTCTGAAGAATTTGGAATTCAGTAGTCAGGATTTAGAACTTTGGAATCCGGATTCAGAAATCAAGATGTGGTGTCTACATGCAAGGATTTAAGATCCAGATTTCTTTGAATTTACTGTTTACGAAAATTATGTTTTCGAAAATATCGTTGAAACAAGAAAAGTAAACACCACCGGACACATTTTTTCCTGTTTATCTTAATGCTAAGGTGACGATTTTCGTACTTTGTATTTACGTACAAAGTACGGAAAACCTTACCTTGATCGCGTTTTTTTAAATTAAATTTTGTATTTTGCGTGCTTTCAATAACCTTCCCATCCCAAAATAAACCAGTTAAGTAGTATATAGATAAAATAAAACTCAGATATTATTATCTTGTCATAATGACTTTTAAACAGCAGACTATTAGTCTGACGCATTCATCTAACGAGTTTTATAATCTCCTCTAATTAATTAGTTTAAACAAAACTAAAGAAACAATAGTGTTTCACCTATCCATTCAAAGCGCATATTTTTCGTTTGTTTACACAAACCCATTATTCGATAAACAAGTATCAGTTTTTATCGCCGCCACCCAATTAGCCCCTCACTCGTTGCACAACTTCTGACAACCACGTCACCTATAAAAGGCTTGCATCCCAAACAAGTCTCCAAGTCCACAACGATGAGAACAGCAATCGTATTATCGACTTTAATAGCGCTAAGTGCAACCGTGCAACTACGTAAGTCCCCTCTCCTCCGCCAACCCATCAACTAAAACCCATTTCCAGCGCCGAATTTCCAAAAATGCAACCGAAAACAGCCCGACTTCAAAGAATGCGTGTTCAAAGCGGCCCAAAACGCCGTCCCTCAGCTAACTAGACCCTACGACGACGTGAACCTACCCAGCCTGAAACCGCTGCACCTGACGGAGCTGACCATAGGCGGGAACGATGGGCCGGTGAGTCTCCAGCAAAAATTCAAAAACTGCGACCTGTTTGGGCTGGATACTATGAAACTGGACAGTTTTGAGTAAGTTTTTTCCGATGGGTAAATCGAGAGTGATGTAGGTTTGATTTTGAGAAAAAGGAGATGAGGTTGGCCGGGGTGATCCCGGAGGTCCGGAAATTGTGTCAGTATGAGGTGAAAGGGCAGGTGTTGCTGTTGAAGGTTAATGGAAGAGGAGACAGTACGATTATTTTGAGTGAGTTTTGGGGTTTTTGCTTTCATAAACTGATGCTTGGGTTATAGAGGGGTTGAACGTCACGGATTCGCTTCCTTTCGAGTACAAGAAGAAGAAGGATAAGATGTATATTCATTTCACGGCTAGTTCGGTGACCCTTAATCCGGAGCGCGTGGTCTACGATTTCAGGAATTCGGACGATAAGACGTTGAGCGATGCGATTAATCCTGTGTTGAATGAGAACTGGAAGGATGTTTTTGACGATGTTAAAAGCGACTACGAGAAGTTGATAGACAAGATTATTCTGACTGTGGCGAATAATTTGTTTTCGAAGGTGTCGGTAGAGGAGGCTTTCGATTAGTGTTTGTGAGGTCAATAATAAACACTTGATGGTATTTTAGTTGTTTTATTTGCGGCAGGTAAACCAATTTAGATTTATTTTGGTAGTGAAAACCCTATAAAAAGAGACCATGATGCACGTAATTGACGCATTAAAGCAAGACTGCAAAAAATTAATTCTTGAAACCCAGGTAAACAACTGCGAACCTTGAAAACAAGTGACGTAAAAAATGAGACTTCATGACTAACGACTAGTTTAAACTCATACTTTTTTTTATAAAAGTAGCATCACATTACACTTGCTGTAATATTGTGTATTATCTTATGTGGGTCAGGGTTGGAAAAACTGTTAATAGTTGCAAATAGCAAAAATAAAGTCCACTTTAGATTAGGGAAATACTATAAAATTATGTTTGGAAAATAAAGAATAAATGTTATATATAAAAAGTTTATTCCTGACGAAACTTTGAGTTCATGCAGAACTAAATTTTTCCGCGTATTTAAAAGATTTAAAATGTCGAGATTTTAAGATCCTGGATTCTACTATTTTAATTTTTCGGAAGCTAAATTCTCTAGCATTCCTAAATCTTAAGAATTCAGTTCCTGTATAGCAAAGTGCGGGACTAGCGTCTATACGTCAGGATTAATTATTAAGGATTTTTGATGTGGGTTTTGGGATTTCAATTAATTATTAAGAATCAAGAATCAAGTATCAGGGGTTAAGGATCAAGGTTCAACAATCAAGAATAAAGTATCAAGTAGGATCAGAGATCAAGTATCAAAGATCGGCGACCAAGAACCAGCGATCGGTACTAGAAACTACGGACATATTAATAACATCTAATGATCAATTACTAAGGATCGAGGAACAATTATTATTAACGATCAAGGACTATAGATCAACGATAAAGGGTCAAGAATCGGGAAATCCAAGATATAAAATTTAGAATTCGGGATTCTAATCTCGGGAGGAAAGAGCCAGGATTTACAATTCATGTTTGAGATTTTAAGATTCAAGGCTTCAGCACTGCCAGCAGAATTCAGGATTTAAGATTTCGGGATTTAGAATTTTAGGTTTGGAATTTCGGATGCGAGTTGTGGGATTCAAGATTTGGATTCAATTATCAGGACCTAGCGTTTAGATGTCAGAATTATTCGTCAAAAATCAAAGATCATGAATTAAGAATAAATGATAAAGGATGAAGGATGAGGGACGAAGGATGAAGGATAACGGATGAAGGATGAACGATGAAGGATGAAGGATGATGAAGGACTAAGAATGAAGGACAGAGGAAGGATAAGGGATGAAGGATACAGGACAAAGGACAATGAATAAAGGATAGAGGACAGAGGACCGAGGACTGAGGAAGAGGATAGAGGACAGAGGGCCGAGGACAGAGGGCAAAGGGCAAAGGCCAAAAACAAACTGCAAACGACAAAGGGAAAATGACAAAGGATCAAGGATCACGGATAAAGGATCAAGGAACAAAGATCAAGCATGAAAGACCAAGAATCAAGGATCAAGGATCACGGATAAAGGATAAAAGATCAAGGATCAAGAATCAAGGATAAAAGATAAAAATAACGGATAAATGATCAAGTATCAAGGATCAAGGATAAAGGATCAAGGGTCAAGGGGCAATGATCAAAGATCAAGCATCAAGGATCACCGATAAAGGTAAGAATCAAAGATAAAGGATTAAGGATTAGGGACAAAGTGTAAAGGATAAAGGATACAGGACAAAGGATAAATGGAAAAGGACAAAGAACAAATTACAAAGGGCAAACTGCAAGCGGCAAAAGGCAAAAAATCAAGGACCAAGGATTGAGGATCAAGGATAACGGATAAAGGATCAAAGCAAGGATAAAAGATGAAAATAAAGGATACATGATCAAGGGTCAAGGGTCAAGGATCAAAAATCAAGGGACAAGGATCAAGGCATGGATCAAGTACAAAGGACAAAGGATAAAAAATAAAGGATAAAGGAAAAAAGAATCAAGGATCAAGGATCAACATTCAAGGATAAAGGATAAAGGATACAGGACAAAGGACAGTGCTTAGAGGATAAGGGATAAAGGATAGAGGATAGAGGAAAGAGGAAAGAGGATAGAGGATAGAGGATAGAGGATAGAGGATAGATGATAGATGATAGAGGATAGAGGACAAAAGACAAAGGTCAAAGGATAAAGGGCAAATGGCAAAGGTCAAAGGGCGAAGGACAAAGGACAAAGGACAAAAGACAATCTACAAAGTGCAAAAGGCCAACGACAAAGGAACAAGGATCAAGGATAAAGAATAAAGGATCACGGATTAAAGATCAAGGACCAAGGATCAAGGATCAAGGACCATGTATCAAGGATCAAGGATCAACATTTAAGGATAAAGAATACGGTACAAAAGTTAAAAGACAAAGGACAATCTTGAAGGATAAAGGATAGACGACGAAGGACGATGGACAAACTAGACAGGACAAAGGACAAAGGACGAAGGACGAACTACACAGGACAAAGGACAAAGGACAAAGAGCAAAGGACAATCTGCAAAGTGCAAAGGGCAAACGACAAAGGATCAAGGATAAAGGATGAAGGACGAAGGATGAAGGAGAAAGGATCAAGAATCAAGGATAACGAATAAAGGACAAAGGATAAACGATACAGGACGAAGGACAAAAAACAAAGTACAAAGGGCAATGGATAAAGGATAAAGTAAAGGATAAAGTACAGGAAAAAAGGATCAAGGATCAAGGATCAACATTCAAGGATAAAGGATGCAGGACAAAGAACAGTACTTAAAGGATAAGGGATAAAGGATAGAGGATAGAGGATAAAGGACAAAGGACAAAGGACAAAGGTTAAAGGACAAAGGGCAAATGGCAAAGGACAAAGGGCAAAGGTCAAAGGACAATCTGCAAAGTGCAAAGGGTAGACGACAAAGAATCAAGGATCAAGGATCAAGGACCAAGGATAAAGGATAAAAGACAAAAGATAAAGGATAAAGAATAATTGATCAAGGATCAAGGATGAAGGATCAATGATCAAAAGTCAAGGAGCACGGATCAAGAATCAAGGATAAAGGATAAAAGATAAAGGACAAAGGACAAAGCATAAAAATAAAGAATAAAAGATACAAGACGATGGACAAAAAACAAAGGACAAAGGATAAATGATAAAGGATAAAGGATGGAGAATAAAGGGCGAAGGACGAAGGACAAAGTTTAAAGGGCAAAATGTAAAAGACAAACTGTAAAGTGCAAAGGCAAAAGACAAAGGATCAAGAATCAAGGATCAAGAATCAGGATCAGGGATTAAGGATCACAGATAAAGGATCAAGATTTTAGGATCAAGAATCAGGGATCGAGGATTAAGAATCACGGATAAAGGACCAGGGATCAAAGACTAAGCATCAAGTATTTGGAATAAAGGATAAAAAATCAAGGATCAAGGATTAGGTGCCATGAATCAAGAGTCAAGGATTAAGTATCTAGGATTAATGATCAAGAATCAAGGATCAAGGATCAAGGATAAAGGAAAAAAAAAGGATAATGTACAAAGGATAGAGGATAGTGGATAAAAGACGTAGGACAAACAATGAAGTATAAATGATAGAGAATAAAGGACAGAACGAAGGACGAAGAACGAAAGACCAAGGACCAAAGTACAAAGGGCAAAGGGCAAAGGGCAAAGGGCAAAGGGCAAAGGGCAAAGGACAAATTGCAAAGTGCAAAGGGCAAAGGACAGAGGATAAAGGATCAATAATCATGGATCAAGTATCATGGATAAAGGATCAAGGATCGAGGATTAAGGATGAAAGATCAAGGATCAACAAGAATCAAGGACCAAGCATATGGAACAAAGAATAAAGAATAAAAGAGAAAGAGTAAAGGATAAAAGATAAAGAAAAAATGATAGAGGATAGAGGAAAGGTGACGAAGATCAAAGAATAAAGGATAAAAGATAAAGAATAAAGGATAGAGGATAGAGGAGAGAGAACGAAGGACGAAGGACAGAGTACCAAGGACAAAGGTCAAAGAACAAAGGACAAAGTACAAAGGACAAAGGACAAAGTACAAAGGACAAATGGCAAAGGACAAAGTGTAAAGAATCAAGGATCAAGGATCAGAGATAAGGGCTAAAGGGTAAAGGACAAAGAATAAAGGCCAAAAGATACAAGACAAAGGACAAAGGACAAAGGATAAAGGGTAATGGATAAAGGATAAAGGATAAAGGATAGAGGATAGAGGATAGCGGATAGAGGATAGAGCATAGAGGACGAAGGACGAAGGACCAAGGACAAAGGACAAAGAACAGAGGTCAAAGATTAAAGGACAAAGTACAAAGGAGAAAGGACAAAGCGCAAAGGGCAAACTGCAAAGTGCAAAAGGCAAGGACACAGGATAAAGGATCAAAAATCATGGATCAAGTATCACGAACAAATTATCAAGGATCGAGAATTAAGAATCAAAAATCAAGGATCAACAAGAATGAAGGACGAAGGATCAAGAATATCGAATAAAGGATCAAGGATCAAAAATTAAGGATTAATGGTCAAGAATCAAGGGTCAGGGATCAATGGTCAAGGTTCAAAGATCAAGGTAAGGATCAAATACAAAGGAAAAAAACTATTAAGGATAAAGGATAAAAGATAAAGGATAAAGGAAAAAAGATAAAGGATAAACGAAAAAAGATAAAGGATAAACGAAAAAAGAATCAAGGATCAAGGATCAAATTCAAGGATAAAGGATAAAGAATACAGGATACAGGACAAAAGATAAAGGATTGAGGATAGAGGATAGGGGACAAAGGATAATCTGCAAAGTGCAAAGGGCAATCGACAAAGGATCAAGGACAAAGAATAAAGGATTGCGGATTAAGGATCAAGGACCAAGAATCAAGATCAAGTACCAAGGATCAAGTATCAACATTTAAGGATAAAGGATAAATGATACGATACAAAGGATAAAAGGCAAAGGACAATCTTGTAGGATAAATGATAGAGGATAGAGGAAAGAGGATAGAGGAAAGAGGATAGAGAATACAGGATAGAGGACGAAGGACGATGAACAAACTACACAGGACAAAGGACAAAGGACGAAGGACGAACTACACAGGACAAAGTATAAAGAGCAAAGGGCAAAGGATCAAGGATCAAGGATCAAGGATAAAGGATAAAGGATAAAGGATGAAGGATAAAGGATCAAGAATCAAGGATAAAGAATAAAGGACAAAAGATACAGGACGAAGGACAAAAAACAAAGTACAAAAGACAATGGATAAAGGATAAAGGATAAAGAAAAAAGGATCAAGGATCGAAGATCAAGGATAAAGGATACAGGACAAAGAACAGTGCTTAAAGGATAAGGGATGAAGGATAGAGGATAGAGGAAAGAGGATAGAGGATAGAGGATAGAGGACAGAGGATAAAGGACAAAGGACAACGGTCAAAGGACAAAGGGCAAATGGCAAAGGACAAAGGGCAAAGAACAAAGGACAATCTGCAAAGTGCAAAGGGCAAACGACAAAGAATCAAGGATCAAGGATCAAGGATAAAGGACAAAGGACAAAAGATAAAGAATAGTTAATCATGGATCAAAGATGAAGGAACAATGATCAAGGGTCAAGGAGCATGGATTAAGAATCAAGGATAAAGGATAAAAGATAAAGGACAAAGTATAAAGCATAAAGATGAAGGATAAAAGATACAGAACGATGGACAAAAAACAAAGGTTAAATGATAAAGGATAAAGGATGGAGGACAAAGGGCAAAGGACGAAGGACAAAGGTTAAAGGGCAAAGCGTAAAAGACAAACTGTAAAGTGCAAGGGCAAAAGACAAAAGATCAAGGATCAAGAATCAAGAATCAGGGATCAGGGATTAAGGATCACGGATAAAGGATCAAGATTTTAGGATCAAGAATCAGGGATCGAGGATTAAGCATCACGGATAAAGGATCAAGTTTCAAGGATCAATGATCAAGGATTAGGTGCCATGAATCAAAAGTCAAGGATCAAGTATCTAGGGTCAATGATCAAGAATCAAAGATCAAGGTTCAAGGATAAAGGATAATGTATAAAGGATAGAGGATAGGGATAAAGGACGTAGGACAAAGAATAAAGTATAAAGGATAGAGAAAGGGAAAGGGCAAAGGACAGAGGATAAAGGATCAAAAATCATGGTTCAAGTATCATGGATAAAGGATCAAGGATCGAGGATTAAGAATGAAAAATCAAGGATCAACAAGAATCAAGGAAGAAGGATCAGGGATATGGAATAAAGGATAAAGGATAAAGGACAAAGAGTAAAGGATAAAAGATAAAGAAAAAAGGACAGAGGATAGAGGAAAGGGGACGAAGGTCAAAGAATAAAGGATAGACGATAGAGCAGTGAGAACGAAAGACGAAGGACGAAGGACCAAGGACAGAGTACCAAGGAGAAAGATCAAAGAACAAAGGACGAAGTACAAAGGACAAAGGGCAAAGTACAAAGGACAAAGGGCAAAGGGCAAAGTGCAAAGAATCAAGGATCAAGTATCAGAGATAAAGGATAAAAGGTACAGGACAAAGGACAAAGAATAAAGGATAAAAGATACAGGACAAAGGACAAAAGACAAAGGATAATGGATAAAATATAAAGGATAGAGGATAGAGGATAGGGGATAGAGGCATAGAGGACGAAGGACGAAAGATCAACGACAAAAGACAAAGAACAGAGGTCAAAGAATAAAGGACAAAGGCCAAAGCGCAAAGGGCAAACTGCAAAGTGCGAAGGGCAAGGACAGAGGATAAAGGATCAGAAATCATGGATCAAGTATTACGAACAAATTATCAAGAATCGAGGATTAAGTATCAAAAATCAAGGATCAACAAGAATCAAGAACGAAGGATTAAGGATATGGAATAAAGGATAAAGAATCAAGGATTAAGGATCAAGGATTAAGGGTCAAAAATTAAGGATTAAGGATCATGGATTGGGGAGTAAGTATAAAGCATAAAGGATAAAAGGTAAAGAATAAAGGATCAAGGATCAAGGATCAAAGATAAGGAAAAAAGAATAAAGGACAAAGGATAAACCATTAAGGATCAAAGACAGACCTAGGACTAGGGATTAGAATTACAAAACCAATGACTAAGAACCAATTACTAAGGAACAAAAACCAAGGACATTATATCAACGATCAAAAATAGAAAATCAAACAATCAAAGTTTAAATTTAGAATTTAGAATTCATGTTTGGTGTTTTAAGATTCCGGACTTCGGCACTGAGAGTCAGAATTCAGGATTCAGAATTAGAGAGCAAAGACAAAGGATCATTTACTAAGGACTAAGGATCAATTATTAATGACGATGGACGAATTGCTGACGACCAAGGATCATAGATCCAGGATACGCGATCAAGAAACAAGATGTAACGTCCAAAAAAATCAAGGATTTAGAATAAATGTTTGGCATTCAAAAATCAGGACTTATCATTTAAAGGTTAGAATTATTGAACAAAGATCAAAATCAACAAACAAAAAAATAGATATCAGATATTAGGTATCAAGGATAGGGAGTTGAGGATCCAGCATGAAGAATTAAAGATTTATTTCCAAAATTCAGGATTTGGCATTTAAAAATCTGGGTTAATAATTAAGAATCAAGGATCAAAAATCAGATTCAGATAACAGGTATCAAGGATGAGGAGTTGAAGATCAAGGATAAAGGATCAATGATCAGGTATCAGATATTAAGGATCAAGGACTAAGAATTAGGAGCCAAGAGTTAAGGTTTAGAATTCGCGTTTGAGGTTTAAGATTTAGGATTTCAGCAATGGAAACATGACTCAAATTAGACGAAACAGCAATAAATAACCCTCGCAGTTTTTTAATGCATATTTTCCAAAGTCTAATTATGACTCATTTAGCACAAAACTTTTTTCCAAGCTCTTAATTATACCGTAAGTGCATTTAAGTGTATACACATACATATATCTCTTGCGTGATTTCCATCTATAAGGAAACTAATTCCAGTTTCCCCCTTTTTCTACAGTTCCTAATCACACTATAAAACAAAGATTTTGTCAACAAGTCAAAAGTACACAACAATGAAAACCTTCACCGCTCTGTTAACTCTAACAGCACTCGCTTCAAGCGTAAAACTCCGTAAGTTACCCAACCACTCCAACCCCAACCAACCAACCAAAAATTTACAGCCCAAAATTTCCAAAAATGCGCCCGAAACCGACCAGATTTCAAAAACTGCGTGTTCAAAGCGGCCCAAAACGGCATCCCCCAACTAAACAAACCCTACGACGAGCTCACTCTCCCAAACCTGGAACCACTCCACCTGGAAGAAATAACCATAGGGGGGCTAGACGGACCAGTGACCCTTCAGCAGAAGTTCAAAAACTGTGACTTGTATGGACTGAGCACCCTACAAGTGGATCAGTTTGTGTCAGTAATTTTTATGAACGAGTGCAACAATTTAACAAAATGATGTAATTACATATTTAGGTTCGATTTTGACAAAAACGAGATCAAAATTTCCGGGATGGTCCCAGAAATTCGAATATTGGGCCAGTACGAGGTGAAAGGGAGGGTGTTGCTGCTGCCTGTTGACGGAAGAGGAGACGCTACGATTATTTTGAGTGAGTTTTTGTTACCAGAATTGTGTATTTTGGGAATGTCGGATGGTTTTCTAGAGGAGTTAAAAATCGAGGACGTTTTGTCATTCGAACAAAAAAAGAAGAAAAATGGGACTTATTTGAGTTTTAGGTCGAGTCGGGTTGGGTTGGAGCCGGGGTTAGTAATTTTTGATTTTAGGAGTGCTGTTAGTAAAAATTTGAGCGACCGGTTCAATCCGGTGTTGAACGAGAACTGGAAGCTGGTGTTTGAGGATGTTCAACGAGATTACGAGGAGTTGATAGACAAGATTGTTCTGAGTTTAGCCAATAGTTTTTTTTCTAAGGTATCTGTAGAAGAAGCTTTTGATTAGTACTTAAGATAATATGTATTAAAAATAAATCCTTAAAATTGTCAACTTATAATAAACAGCGATGTGTCACCTAGACTTTAACCTGAAAGTAATTAAGTACACAACACATAATTATTCCGTCAAGGTGATGGAGAAATGTGTGGAAGCATTAATTATAGAGTCTCTACTAAGTTAATTAATATTATTAAGTGAGGTCAGCTAAGTATGTATATTGACAAATAGCGAAATACATTAAGCACTGAATCTACATAAATAACAAACTAATTATTTTTATTTTCTTCGAATTCTAGACAACTTCATTACGAATTTTAATTTTTGCTGGACGGTTTTTTCCGCTATCTATTTAAAAATGTAACAATTAAATTTTAAACTCTAGTTAGGTAATTAAGAAGATTTTTACTTTCCGAATCAAAATTGTAACTGAACTAAGCGTGAAAATATAATTGTTGATCCCCTCTCAAAAAATTGATGACGTCATCTCAAAATTCTCTCTGAAATATGCAAAATATTATGATTCTCTATTTGTTGTTTGTCAATGCACTCATAATTTTTAGAATTATCTATACAGGTGACTCAAAAAATTAATGAATGATTTTACAATTTTTCATCTTTAATTTTCAGTTTTTAGATTTTTTAAAGTATCATTTTCTGTTTTTTTCTTTTTTCATTTTTGATTTTTGAAAAATTAAATACCGAGAATTTTAGAAAAACTAGAAATCGAATGAGTGAAGAAGTTTGAGTCCAATAATTAAAAGATTGAAAAATTCTAAAATCGCATAATCGAAAAAGTATAAATTTTAGAAATTATAATTGTTACTCCTATTTGATAGATATTTAAAATGAAAACTTGAAGAAACGAAAAACTGAACAATAGAGGAACTGAAAAATCTGAAACTGAAAATATGAAAAATTAAAAACAGAAAAATTGAAAATTCAAGAAATTGTGAACAGAAAAATTGCAAAATCTAAACACTGAAGAAACAAGAAAGAAAGAAAAATTGAAAAATCGCAATCCGAAAAAGTGAAGGAACGAAAAATCGAATAACTGAACAAGTAAAGAAAAAATTGAACATTGAAAACTCGAGAAACTTAAATCGAAATATCGAAACATCCAAGGGCGAAGGACCAAGGACAAAGGATCAAGGATCAAGGATCAAAGATGAAGGATAAAAGATTAAGGATAAAGGATAAAGATAAAAGATAGAGGATAGACGATAGAGATAAAAGATAGAGGATATAGGATAGAGGATAGAGGATAGAGGATAGAGGATAGAGGATAGAGTATCCAGGACCAAGGATGATGGTTCAAGGATCAGAGATCAAAGATCTAGGGTCAAGGATCAGCGATCAGGTATCAAGGATCAAGGATAAAGGATAAGGGATAAAAGATGAAGGTTAAAGTATAAAAGATAGATGATAGGCTATAGAGGATGCAGGATAGAGGATCCAGGATCCAGGAACAAGGATAAAGGATAAAAGATAAAAGAGAAATAAAAATGACAAAGGACAAAGATTGAAGGACAAAGCACAAAGGATAAAGAACAAATGAAAAAAGACGAAGGACAAAGGACAAAGGATGAAGGATGACGGTTGAAGGATAAGGGGTTAAGGATAAAGAATCAAGGATCAAGGAAAAGAGATAAAAGATAAAGGATAAAGGATAAAAGATAGAGAATAGAGGATATAGGATAGAGGATAGAGGACAGAGGATCCAGAACCCAAGATCAAGTATCGATGATCGAGGATCGATGATCACAGATCGATGATCGAGGATCAGAAATCAAAGATCATGGATCAAGGATCAGGGATCAAATATCAAGAATCAGGGATCACGGATCACGGATCAAGGATCAAGGATCAGCGATCAGGTATCAAGGATCAAGGATAAAGGATAAGGGATAAAAAATGAAGGTTAAAGTATAAAAGATAGAGGATAGACTATAGAGGATACAGATTAGAGGAACCAGGATCCAAGATCAACGATAAAGAATAAAAGATAAAAGATAAAAGAGAAAGGAAAAAGGACAAAGGTCAAAGGACAAAGGACAAAGGATAAAGAACAAATGAAAAAGACAAAAAACAATGGACAAAGGACAAAGGATGAAGGATGAAGGTTGAAGGATGAAGGATAAAGGATAAAGGATAAAGGATTAAGGATAAACACTCAAAGATCAAGGAAAAGAGATAAAACATAAAGGATAAAAAATTGAAACTGGAAAAACCAAAAATTACAAAATCAAAACACTGAAATATGGAGGAATTTTAAAAACAGAGAAAATTAAGAAATCAAACTAAAAATTGCAAACCGAAAATTTGAAACTGAAGAATCGAAAAATTGAAAAATTAAAAATTGAAAATTCAAGAAATTAAACCGAAAAATTGCAAAATCTAAAAATTGAAGAAACAAGAAAGAAAGAAAAATTGAAAAATCGCAATTCGAAAAAGTGAAGGAACGAAAAATCGGATAATTGAAGAAGTAAAGAAAATAAAAAACCGAAACGAAAAATTGTACATTGAAAACTCGAGACACTCAAATCGAAATATTGAAACATCCAAAGACGAAGGACCAAAGACCAAGGACCAAGGACCAAGGACCAAGGATCAAGGATCAAGGATCAAGGATCAAGGATCAATCATGAAGGATAAAAGATTAAGGATAAAGTATAAAGGATAAAAGATAGAGGATATAGGATAGATGATAGAGGATCCAGAATCGAAGATCGAGTATCGATGATCATTGATCGAGGATCAAGGACCAGGGATGATTGTTCAAAGGTCAGAGATCAAAAATCAAGGATCAAGGATCAGGGATCAAATATCAAGAATCAGGGATCACGAATCACGGATCAAGGATCAAGGATCAGCGATCAGGTATCAAGGATCAAGGATCAAGGACAAGGGATCAAAGATAGAGGTTAAAGTATAAAAGATAGAGGATAGACTATAGAGAATACAGAATAGAGGATCCAGGATCCAGGATCAAGGATAAAGGATAAAGGATAAAATATAAAAGAGAAATAAAAAAGGTCAAAGGACAAAGCACAAAGAATAAAGAACAAATGAAAAAGGACAAAGTACAAAGGATTAAGGAAAAAGGATAAAAGATAAAGGATAAAGAATAAAAAGTAGAAAAAAAATTGAAACTGGAAAAACCAAAAATTACAAAATCAAAACACTGAAAAATGGAGAAATATTAAAAACATAGAAAATAAAAAAATCAAACTAAAAACTGCAAATCGAAAATTTGAAGAAATGGAAAACTGGATAATCGAAAAATCGAAAAATTAAAAATTGCAACTTCAAGGAATTGTAAACCGAAAAATTGCAAAATCTAAAAATTGAAGAAACAAGAAAGAAAGAAAAATTGAAAAATTGCAATCCGAGAAAGTGAAGGAACGAAAAATCGAATAATTGAAGAAGTAAAGAAAATAAAAAACGGAAACGAAAAATTGAACACTGAAAACTCGAGAACCTCAAATCGAAATATTGAAACATCCAAAAGTTGGAAAATCTGAAAACTGAAAAATTTTAAAATGAAAACCCGAAGAAATCTAAATAGGAACACTGAAAAGTTAAAAAATAAAAACTGAAAAATTGGAAATCGAAAATTCTGAAAAAATCAAAATTCGAGAAAATGTAAATCGAAAAATTGCAAAATCTAAAAATTGAAAAAGGGAAAAACAAGAAAAATTGAAAAATCGCAAATAGAAAAATTGAAGAAACAAAAAATCGAAAAAATTGAAGAAACAAAAAATTATGAAATAGAAACATTGAAAAACCAATAATTGAAGAAATAAAGAAAATAAAAAATCGAAACAAAGACTGCAAATCGAAAAATTGAGAAATCAAACACTGAAAATTCGAGAAACTTAAATCAAAAAATTGCAAAATCAAAAACCTGAAACTTCCAAAATATCGGAAAACTAAAGACTTATAAAAATAAAAATTGAAATATTCAATTAACGAAAAATTGAAAAAGTTAAATTGGAAAAACAAAAAATTACAAAATAGAAACACTGAAAAATAAAAAAATTATACAAACAAAGAAAATAAAAACTCAAAACGAAGTTTTCAAAATTGCAAATCGAAAATTTGAAGAATTGAAAAGTTAAAGAACTGAAAAATTGAAAAATTAAAAATTAGAAATTCGGGAAACTGTAAACCGACAAACTACAAAATTTGAAAATTGAAGTAACAAAAAAATTGAAAAATCACTAATCGAAAAATGGAAGAAACCAAAAATTGAAAAAATTAAAATTCAAAAATCAAAATTTATGAAATAAAATCATTGAAAATTCGAATAATTGAAGAAATAAAGAAAATAAAAAACCGAAGAAATTCATAATCACAAAAAATAAAAATTAAAAAAAAATCGAATAATCGAAGAAATGAAAGAAATAAAAAACCGAAACAAAAACTGCAAATCGAAAAATTGAAAAATCAAACATTGAAAATCAGGAGAATCGAATCGAAAAATTGTAAAATCAAAAAAACTGTAACTTCCAGAATGTGGAAAATCGAAAAACTAAAAAATTGAGTGAAAACTCGAATGAAATAGACGCATTTTGAAAAATCGAATAATTGAAGAACTAAAGAAAATAAAAACTGACACGAAAAATCGGAAATCGAAAGACTGAAAAATTAAATATTGAAAACTCGGGAAACTCAAATTAAAAAAGTGCGAAACCAAAAAATTGAAACAACCAAAATTTGGAAAATCGGAAAACTGAAAAATTAAAAATGAAAACCGAAGAAATGAAAATAGCAAAAATTTAAGACTTAAAAAAACAAAAATCGAAAAATTGCAAATAGAAAAATTGAAGAAACGAATAGTTGAAAAAATTGAAATAAAAATACAAAACATTATAAAATTGAAACACTGAAAAATGGGAAAATTGTAGAAACAAAGAAAACAAAAAGCCCAAATCAAAATATGCAAAATTGTAAAGAAAAGTAAAACTAAAGAACCGAAAAATTGAAAAATTAAAAATTGAAAACTC